TACATTTTACCCGTTGTCTCTCGATTATAAATTTCTTTACAATAAAAAAAATCACCTTGACCAGATGGAAAGACTCACTGATGAGGTATCTAACGATAAAAATAATTATGCACACATGAAAGTTGGTTGAAATATCTACAGACATCGAATCCCCGATAGTTTCCTTAACATTTTGTCGAAAGAAAAATCATTTATCATAATTGATGACTTGGATAACAGATGAATAATCATTATTATACACACACATGGTTGATAAAAAATATCCTGAAGTATTATACTGATGTTTGATTGCCACTTTTAACATCTGAGAAAGAAATTCCTACATTTCACCCGCAGTAAAAAAGAACTCAATCGTTAGTCGAAATAAATATGCAGTTATAATCTGATCTATCTTAATTTATTTCATTTGTATTTAACACTTATGTAGAAATATTTTTTGTTCAATGTATATGTATTGCGACGTAGCGAGTGTTTTTTTCTATCCAATATAGCAGTCGAAATGGCAAAAAGTTCGTTTCATGTTTACATCATTATCGTGAACCTTCGTTTTAGTTTTTTCTTGTTACGAATGGCTAATTTAGATGCAAAGATGCGATAGCAGTGTTCTTCGTCGAGTATGCTGAAACTGATTGATAGTATGGTAGGATCATTTCAATCCATATTAATTATCTCATCGACTGATTTTAATGAGTACAGCATCCTCCGAAATTCATTATCACATTCAATTTTTAAAATGTCAGGCTTCGTCACTATCACGGTTTCACGATCGTTCATTGAGAATGCAATCGAAAAAATAAACATATTATCATTAGCTCCTTAGAAACAATTTTCCATTTGATATTTGAGTTGGATAATGGAAAGGGGGAACTCAGTTTAGTTTGAGCAATCTATCAATCATTAGTCAGCTGTGATTCTATACATAATTCCTCATGATACGAACATCGGACGATGAAAAAAAAAAATCAGTGGAAAGTGAAAGATATTTTAAATCTCGCCGATCATTTCAAATACTTTACCAACACCATATTATTACTTTCAATTCAGTTTTCCATTAATTTCAGAATCACTACGGTCGTTAAACGAGTTATGTTTACCATAAGCACACATTTCTATTTTCACCTCATTTAAATCATCACACGTTCTTGCTCCATCTTTCATAAAATCCAAACTATCTTTAGAAGTCACCATCAGAAAAGATTTAACTAAAATATGTTTTATTCTCCTATACGGCCATATATAAGAATCTGGAGACAGAGAGAATATGCCATATGAGTGAGACAGATATTGGGAAAATATATAATGAAAAATAAAAATTTCAGCGTCACACATAATTTTCTGTTCCGAATCTTTTTATCGATGAAGAAAGATCAAGATAGGAAATCTTCATTGTCATCATCCGGTATAACGAAATATAATTCATTTGATACACTGTATCACCGAACATCAACTCTGATATATCAAGTATAAACTAATTGTGAGTACATTTTATTAGGTCGAAAATAAACAGGCCTCAAAGCATTCCGATGTAGGAGTTATGAGCACAAGAAATTACTTTTAATGGAAGTGGATAGGCACTTATCAATTTGATACTTTGATGTTCAATGGGCGCACGCAAATGCCTAAAAGTTCATGATAATTGGATTAATTTAGTCAATTGAATTAATTAGATACGTATTTATTTACATTTTGAGAGTTTAATAAGTGTGCTCAATACAAAAAAAAATTATTGCAGTTCTTTAGCCAGTGTCGATGAGAAAATTTTAAAATCCATTTCATAGTTATATTAATAGGTACAGTATATGGAATGAATTGATGCAATGCAATACATTTTTTGTTATAATTTAGATTTCGGATAAACCAAAACAGACATACAGCAAACAGGCATTATCGCATTTTTGTTCGAGAACTATTTTTCAATAATTAAAAGTCTGAAGGAAATGTTTTCGAATTAATTTTTTTCGAAAATCAAATTTTCAAATATTCGTTTTTTCGAAAATTCAGGTATCACAAAATATGAGCAATATTTTGCATCATGAAGATATATTGCGATTGCGGACTCTGTGGTCCAAAGATTTATACTTTTTTGGAGCATTATAGGAAATTCCAAAGAGACGATATTTGAGCGTCAATAACAGATAAAAATCCCCTATGCCATGATTCAGAGACTTTGTTGGTCAACTGTGACTGCTGAAGAACACTTCCGAAGCAGCTCCAAAAAGAATAAGTAAATACAAGTTCAGCTGATTTAGCTCTTGACTATTTTGACGCTATAATCACGCACGTGGATAATGTTGATGGTTGTTCGGTTAGTTAGGTAAGCTAGGTATAGGAAGATATTATATAGATTGTTGAGAAATAAACTACGAAGGCGCTGAAGGGCCACATATACTTTTTTTTTGAATCCCGGACCCCCGACTTAATAGTCGGACCCCCGACTTTAATCTCGGACCCCCGACTTTGAAGTTGGACCCCCGACTTCAATCTCGGACCCCCGACTTTAATCTCGGACCCCCGACTTTAAAGTCGGACCCCCGACTTTAATCTCGGACCCCCGACTTCAAAGTCGGACCCCCGACTTTAAAGTCGGGATTCAAAAAAAAAAGTATAGGTGGCCCTTCAGCGCCCTCGTAATAAACAGTTTTTGGAAGTGAAGAAATAAATTATTTTGAAAATAAATGATTTCGAAAAAGAAACATTCCGGGAAGTTGTTTGGAGAAAAAAGTAACTATCGATAATAAGGACTTTCGAAAACTTGATTTTCGAAAACTAGTTTTAAAAAACGTTGTTTCCGAAAAATATACTGCTATTCGTGTTGAATTTATTTATGAAACAGAAATAACTGCATGAGATATCATTCACATGTGGAAGAATTAATATATTGCATTTGATATATATAGTCAGAAATATATACCAAGTCCTCGGTAGTATAGTGGTCAGTATCCCCGCCTGTCACGCGGGAGACCGGGGTTCGATTCCCCGCCGGGGAGGATCTTTTTTTTATTTTCCTCAACTCTCCAACGGCCAACAGATGGCGACACTTAGAGTATCATCGATGTTTCTCGACGCTCGTCGCTCGGCAGCCTTTAAATAGTGGCGTTGAACGTAGTCGAGTCAAGATCATACTTCACAGGATCATTTCTGTAGTATATCTTCGCATACTCTCTACTCAAACGTAGAGTTGTCGCAACTTCGATGACGAGACATAGTCTCGTGTCCTGAGCGTGAGGCAGACATTTTGTGAGTGCATGCATTTGCAAATGTCCTCGATGATCGTTCGCTCGCTACTTGTAGCGAGTTATGGATGCGAGGCAGTCTGAGAGGTTGCTTTTATAAGAATGAAATGATAACGATTGTTTTGAACTTCTGAAAGGTCTAACCTATTAGAAGAATCAACGGTCATTGGTTGCCTGAAACATGTTATTGAAAAAAATTATTACTGATGGAGATTGTCCACTTTGAAAATAAGCTCGGCATGCAGAATAAACTCTCTTTATTTCTGAACAGGTCAAGGCATGGTCAATAAGATGTTTTTATGGTAATCTTAATTAAGGCTGGTTGCCATGGTTACATTGGTCAGAAACTGACATCACTTAAGGTTCTTGTTCATAGAAAATCCGTAAGAAGCGCTAATATCGTCATATTTTCAATTGGCTAATGGCAATCAGACCAAATAACAACAATCATTTATACTTAAGACAAAACATGCATATAGAGAAATTGTGTTGGTAGGTTCATTTTTGATAGTGTCTAATGAAATTCTGGTGATTGGAGTGCTCATTTCCATTTTGAAGAAAATCCGTTCAGCAGAAAAATATGTAATTACAATTACGAACAAGAACCTTAAGGTATGTTCATGCTTGTACGAATTCCGCAAAATTTATGCGAATCGCAAACAACGAAATTCCCAACAGAATTCGACGTTCATACTCATGCGACAAAATTTGGAAGAGGTAAAAAGGGTTCTATGTTATCATATATAATATCTTTATTTCTGGTTCCACCATTGATCGAAGTTCATCAAATTGAAGGCAGGTTAAACGAAAGTAATTGAAATATTTATTAGGGTCATTCAGTTGATCGAACGAAGCTGTAATAATATCTCCATACATTTTTCGGAATTTAAAAATGCTTCGAACACTCTACAGCTCCTTTTTTGCTTCTGGACACATCATTAGCTCTACAAATGATACATTAAAATTACTTCGTCCAGAGAATCCATCCTGAGAAGAAAACTTAATTATATGAAGAAATTATGAAATTTCAAATTATAATTCTGTACTTACCTGTAGTCTAGTGTCTGTCACGTCTTTTTTCAGCCTCTGCTGTCCGCTCCCTAATTCCCTAATTTTGATGTTATCATAATAACAACACATTTTATGTGAGATGTTCATAACTCCTATTATAAACATCTCAATTTTATGCATACCATAGATATTTTCATCATGCCATAGATTAACGAGTCGTTAATCTATGTGCATACTGTCTTGTGGTTTGGGCAAAACAATAGCGTATCAGTGAAAACACGATATTTTTACTTATAAACATTTCTTTCAATGACAACAAATAATGTAGATCGTAGCTAGCAGAGTTGATAGTACCAATTTCAACCGTGCTGTGGCGCTACCATACGATCTCGATAATTTTAATTTCGGATTACGGTCAAAGCTTCAGGAAGGGCTTTTGTGCTGATTCAAAGTTATCGGTAGATAGTTACTAATCTGATTCAACAACTCGAATTATATGTGTGAACAATTGGAAAATTAAAATTTTGTTTAGCCATAAAGCTGTGGCTTTGGCCTACTATACAGAATATCATCAGTTCTACCAACCTTGGCTGTGGTTCAATTGTGCTGTCATCTACTGTCCTTGTCGCTAACTAATTGATTTTTTGAGTTGTGGCCGGATAGCCTTATTTCTATTGTGGTTCGTGAACTGATTTCATTTGTCAAAGCAACGTCACCGCCTCAACGACGAAGTAGTCTCAGATGTCAGATGACAAAATCAGAATGTCAGAATCGGTACTGTCAAATTGGGAATATGGAAAATTTTGTAAACAAATCACAAGTGTTTGGTTTTTTATAGAATTATAGTTTTGAACTCGGTTATCAATATGCAGTGGACAAACGAGCTTATTTTAGAATTTATAAGACTGTATAAACAGGAGCCGATAATATGGAATCCCAAATATGGTTTGCATAGACCAGGTAGGTAAGTGTTGATATTTTGTTGCTATGATAGATATGGTGAAAAAAAACTACAAGAATATCCACAAAATTCCATTCCCTGTTAATTATACTGAAATTTGGAATCGCTTCAATTCGCTAGCAAGAGACGACTTGAGCTCTGGAGTAGGTACAAGTTCAAGACATAAAACAAATAAATTGACAGATTTCCCCAATGAGATAGATGATTAAATTCCAAACTGAAACAGTGTTATTTGAATAATTATACGTTTTAGCATCAAAGGACGTGTTTATCATGTCCCAGGCACCAGATGACGTATCTGTGACGTCTTTTTACGTCAGTTGAATGACCAAGAGGTGACGTCGTACTTATGACGTGATGAATGACGTGAATAAGTCACAGCCCAATGACGTCATATTATTCACGTTTATGGTCTATGGACGTCAGTCACTCACCAAACGCCTTGGGCGTCATGTCCCAAACGTATAAACAATATAAAATATCAGTTTTAGCTCTGATATAATGAATGGAAACGAAAATAGGTCTTTGAGTTCTGTGTATTTAACACAATAATTCAACCTCATTTTGATTACTGCGCATCTAACTATATTATTTTCATGGGACCTAAATAAATTGAACCAACTACAAGAGCTGCAAAATCGTGGTATGAGAATAACTTTAAAAGCCAATCGATATTCACCCATTGTTGTTATGTTCAATACTTTACAATGGTTCACTGTCTCTCAAAGAATTTATCATCTTCAAAATACTAAATAACTTAGCACCCTCGTATTTTCAAACATATTTGATATTTCGAAGAGAAGTCCATTCATATCTCACCAGAAATTGTGATGATTTTCATATCTCCAGAACAAACCACAAATACACTATTTGTTTTTAAAAGGTTTATTATTATATATTATTATTATTATTATTTATTCTATATTTTATTATTATGTCTATTGGGATGCTTATTTGAATGAAGATCTATCTATCTTCAATAACTATTTTTCTTAAATCAATTGTTGATTGAACATTTTGGAATGAATGCACCCAGTTAACACAAACCTCTCTGAGATGTCGCATTCAGGTCACCAAATGTTGAAAATGCGAATCGAAATTATAAGTTGCTGTTACCGCTACGGGATACGAATTAAGATGAATGGTTCACAATGGAACTCACATTTTGGTCGATCCGAATCAAATATGAATGTCTATTTGTGAGTCTATTTAGCATATCAATTACGTTCATCGAATGCGTTGAAAATGAATTTCTTTGGAATCTCTGTATAATGTCTCAAGGATATGTAAGTGATTCGCATTTATTATATTCCAAGATAATTAAATGTGAACAGGCGTCTATAGCGGTTTATCAATCTTTCTAACTTCTCAAGAAATTTTCATTTCTGACATGACCCCTCTGGCAGAATGACGACACATTGTTCAGTTGTAATTCAGAAGTGAATTTTTGCAGTTGTGGCATTATACTCCCGTAGCAGCGATATAATGTAGAGCTTGCTTCGAAATTTATTCCTACAAGTTCATTTCACTTTATTTTCTGTACCTCTACTGAGGAACATAATATGGACTTCAACGTTTCGATCGTTTTGTTAGAATGTTTTATATTATTTTTCTTGTTAATACAGTTTTAGTTGGACAGTTTATTCAATGTTTTGTTTGTTCATTTGTTATATTATTTTTTTTGTTTATTTGTGATAATAACTGTTTTATTATTCATATATATATATTTGAATATATTCCATAAGCCATAATTTATACTCATATTATATGTTATATCCGTTTTCCACGTTGAAATATAATGAGCTTCTTTGTTACCGGTTTGTTTATTCTAAAAATTCATCATTTCAGGTTTCCAATTCACCAATCCTATGCTCCCAATTATTCGTATCCAGTGACTGAGATGCGAGTTGCATTATCATTCACAAATGTGGTCTGATGAACCCAATTTGTGAGTTCTCTGGCAACATCTGAAATTTATGTGTTTTCGACATGAATGAGAGTTACAAAATACTTCATCAAAATACATCTTTGATATCGGAATGTGACATATCCAGTGATACGGATTGTGATTCACATTATGTAATTAGTAGCGATTCATTCGACTTCACATTATAACATCAAAAGTACCCCAATGTGCATTCGATTTTGAAGGAGAAGTAGTAGGTCACATTCAGCAGATTTCGAGTCACATTAGGCATCGCATTGTAATGCCTGAAGCCGCGGTCAAGGGGGCCCCGAATAGAAGTGTTGGCGATACTAATGTTAGTCACATTTCGACTCACTGGTGTGATCTGTAACATGAAAGTGAAGCTTACGAACATCTTTGAGATGATTTTGTGTTAACTGGGCAGAATGACATTGAAGTAAATGAGAGTAACATGTTAAACTTCCATTTGGAAAAGTACTCTTTTTGTCTCATTGTGGAGCACTTTTTCCTACATGTTGAGCTAGGCTCGAAATATCCGATGCCTGGCGTCGTATTGAAGCTAACTTCAGCGTCGAATGTCCCATCGAAGAGCTGAAGAGGAAGAAGGACTCTCTGATGGCGACCTATCGCTCCTTGAGGAACAAAATCAAACAAAAAGAGATCGGCAGTGGCTCAGAAGACGCCTACAAACCCAACTGGTTCGCCTACGAAGCCATGTTCCAATTTCTCGGTGACGTCTATCAACCAAAGATTTCTCAGCAACAGGTTAGAGGCCAAAGGCGAATGGGTTGCCTGCAAGAACTGTCAGATGATCGACCCTCGAGTCACAACATTGAAACACGACCTCACTTTTCTTATCTGTTTACAAGCGATTGAGATAGTTTTTCACAATTATTTTGGCATACGAATTGTATTTTTCGGCTATTCATTAATTCGCTCATGCCATTACATTGTGCTGTTGTACAATGCACAAAAACTGCAGCGGAAGACGAAGGAGTCCGGTTGGTACATTATAGTCACTCACATATAGTTTTCATTTTTGAAATTTAGTAATTTCTCTGATGATTTCTCATCGGAATTCCTTCTGAAATAGGAGCTAATAGTAGAGATACTCGTGAAATTTCTGAAATAATGCAAGAAGATTGGATTTATGCAATCAAATGGGAGGACTGGTCTGACATGCTGACGAAATATGATCGTGTGTGTTGTAGACATTTTCAATTTCTTAGCAGTATTAGCTTGTATTGCAGAAGTGACAGAAGGAATTTTAATAAGGAATGACAACATTTCATAATGATAACTATGTGAGATTACTATTTACCTGAAAAATCATATTCCTTCATCTCTCGCGGCATTTTTTATGCATTGTACAAGGCATGCTTGAATTAATGAATATTGTGAAAAACTATTTCAATCCTTTGATTCCTCAGTAAACAAATGGAAAAAGTGAGGTTGTGTTTCAATAATTTACAGGAAAGTGAGGTTATGTTTCAATATTTTACCTCCAGGGTCGGTCATCGTTCATGCGACCTATCTTGCTAAGGAGTACGCCCTCTGCCGTTGTCTACTGTAAAAACGTTTGAAAACATGAATCATTATTGTTGTGTACCTCATTGTTCATCTTGAGCAAAAAAATCCCGAATATAACTTTCATATACCTCTCCAAAATCAGGACAATCCAAAACTAAGTTGGGAAACAAGGAAGTGATCGATAGAAGAAAGGTGTGGATTCATAACTTGAAGATAGGAAAAAAAGTGTCTGAACATATGAGAAATTGTTCTTTACGCACTTTAATTAAAATTTACTCATACATATAATATCATATATAATGTATGTCATTTTCTTGGACTACATACCTATACGTGATTTTTTCGAGGGCTTCTTTGATAGTCTTACTACTATCTACCTGAAACATGATACATTTTTTACATTCAGTTTTCGTATCATGGATATAAATAGAGATTTTTGATGATTGAGTTGTAAGCAGTCAAGTAATAAAAACTATGTCACTTTATCTCCAACAATTTATTCCTAAAATGTATGCTGGATTTCCAGAGATGATATAGTCCTCAATCAAAACACAATAAACCACTGAAAAATACAAAGTTCGAAAATACACAAATAACAAAGCTGAACATTCGAAAACTCAAAACGAAATGAACATAAACACCATCACCAAACAATGTAAACAATCCGCCAATGGCCCATAGAGTAGTACCGACATTCGCCGTTCTGGCGGTACGAACTTAATCGCAGTCGCCTATAACCGACCCTGGAGGTGAAATATTGAAACACAACCTCACTTTTCTGTAAAACATTAAAACCCAATCTCACTTTTTTCATTTGTTTACAGAGCATTCAAAGATTGAAATAGTTTTTCACAATATTTTGGCATACGAATCGTGATTTTTGCGCTATTCATTAATCAAGCATGCCTTCTCATTCTGCTGTTGTATAATGCACAAATGATGCAGCGAGAGACGAAGGAATATGATTCTTCAGGTAAATATAGTAATCTCACATAGTTTTCGATGAAATTTTGTAATTTCTTATTGAAATTCCTTCTGCCACTTCTGCAATATAAGCTAATACTGCTAATGGATTGAAAACACACGATCCATATTTCGTCAGCATGTCAGACCAGTCTTCCCGTTTGAATCCAATCTTCTAGAAATTTCACGAGTATTTATTAGCTCCTATTGAAGAAGAAATTCCGATGAGAAATCGGAGAAATTACCAAATTTCAAAAATGAAAACTATATGTGAGTGACTGTAGCAGGTACTTACTTCTAAATCATAATGTACCAACCGGATTCCTTCGTCTCCCGCTGCATTTTTTGTACATTGTACAACTGCACAATGTGATGACATGCGAGAATTAATGAATAGCCGATAAACATGATTCGTATGCCAAAATAATTGTGAAAAACTATTTCAATCACTTGTAAGTAAACAAATAAGAAAAGTGAGGTTGTGTTTCAATGTTTCCCCTCCAGGGTCGGTCATATCTGACAGTTCTTGAACGCAACCCATGGAAATACAGGCATATGATTGAAAATTTCGCCCTTGTTGATGGTAATCATCGAGATTCACAATACCTACTTATTTTTATGTGTAGGACCTCGAAGATATGCACATGGACGAAGACGCAGAAGACATGGAAAACTCACTAGGAGACGACTTACTATTAGACGCAGACGATGTCTCAGATTTAATTTTGAATCAACAAGGAAATTCCTTCAAGCTACCCCAAGAGCGCCAGAACCGGAAAAGAAAAGAGCCCAATATAAACACCTGTATGTGTGAAAATTTGACGAGAGACGAGTGCTCATTGTACTCTCAACTTTTGGCTAAAAAATTGAGGGTGTTTGACGATCACACTCGAATGATCCTCATGCACGAAATAGATAATTTCATGTTCCGTGCCAAACTGGAACAAAGGCAGAAAGGCTCGATTGACTCGGATTTGATAGGAGGTCTCAACAGCAATGTCCTCGAGGAATACAATGCACAGAGTGTTGATGGATTCGTTACCGAAACAATTGTAGTAGAAAATGCGACGAGTTTGGCATCGGATACGGGGGAAGAAATGGCAACTGTTGTTGTAAAGAGCGAGGTGCATTGAATGAAACATTCCCATTGTTTAGACTAAAGAGTTTTTTTTTCAATATGTGATAAAACATTGTTTATAAAGTGTGATGGCTTATATGACTCACTATGGTAAGTACAATGATTGAAGTTGGAATACAAATATGACGTTTTGAGAAAGTTTTCGTAGGTAATATCCCGCGACCATGACAAATAGCCGACTATAATTTTCTTCATAATTCTATCGAGAGTACCATGTATTTTGACAATTTGATGAGACCATATTATGGACAGTTATTCTATGATTATCAATGTTCATATGGTCCAATTGAATTGTCTCAAAATACAAGTTACTCGGGATGAATTAAAGAAAATAAAAGTCTTGATTTGTAATGGTCCAGTGATATTCAGGAATATGATTTCATTAACAGTAATAAAATACTCGTTTGTATAAGTTTCAACGTTTTATTCAAGTTAAATTTTACAACTCTACAGATACTATTTGAAAAAAAATCTTCTGAAGGCCCGTCTGGGGTATTCTATCAAATCTACGATGGCAATCAATTAATCTAAAACAGATCTTCTGAACTTTCCTTTCTTGTCTGAGGAAAATATTTTAGGCTTCACTTTTTTGCATCAAGCGCATCCCTGGCACATTTGAATTCGATATTATATTCGAATGGATTTATCTTACGTTTATGTTCATTGAAGTATCCTTCCTGTATAGTTTTCCATATCAATTTTAGCTGTCTACTAATATTCCTCACCATTCTCCTCACCCAATCTTTCAGGATTTGAGCAATCACGAGAGTTGGGGTGGTCGCACTTTCCGTGATGAAAGTTGACCCAAAAAGAGACATTTCAAGTTTTTAGTGACTGATAGAATCTATGCTGATAGTGACATATTGTTTGTTAACCTAAATAGCCGATGATGTCGCATATCATATGTGACTTTTATCCTGAAATTTCATAGGTGCAGCAAGGTGTCAATGAAATAATCTTCACAATTTCACTATGACAACACGTGTGACATATGCTCTCATTACACAATGTTTCAATGAAACAACTACTATAGATTATTGAACTTTTATGATTTTTTCTGAGGCAAGATCCAGAGCGAAGAGCGTTCGTCACTCCGAGATGTAATTCTGCAGATGAAAATAAGATAAAATGTTCTTATCGTGGATGGCACGTCCTTAAATACAGTTTTCTTCAATTATCTTTGTTACCATGAGAGAGTTTTTGATTGCCGACAGGTTGCGACCACTTGGACCACATTTCGACCGCAGGGTTTTCAATTGATGACCGCATTGAATTGAAGATCAGGACCGATCGATCCAAGATCATTCGCCCAGGCTTTTTGATGGTCGATGTGGTTCAAGGATTTAAAATATAACCTTAAAACAATCCAATTGCTCGAAAAGTGGCAAGGGTATCTACATATAGTCTTCCAAATAAGTGACTCACGTTGTTGATATATAATTTAATACAATCATCGTTATATCCCTGTATGACTCATTTGAGCGAAATATTCCTGATAGGCAATTCGAAATTATTACTCCATCCACAAAATTTATCTCGAGGAATTCTATATGACTGATAAAAGAGATGATATGTGTTATTTTCGGTATATTATCGATATAGCAGTGAAGTCCGCGGTTTCGAGGTTTTTGTTGTTTTTGGAATACAATAGCGACCGATCGATACGAATCGTTTTTTGTCATTGTGGTCAGTCCCGTGACATTAACGACCGGTCGGTCAGGCCTCCCAGAGTCTATACGAACGTTATTCTGGGACTACCTGTATAGTGGTTCTCCTATCTACCTCTTATTAATTTTTTTCATTCAATCATTGATCGATATAAAATTGGTTACATATAAAAATTATATAGAGAAGATTCTTGCAAAAGTCAGATAGTGTACGTTAAAATATAGAACTGCTGAAAAAATCAAGAATATGTGAAGGCAACATAAATTATATTTTGGATCAAATATGGATGATAATTTATCATTTGAATTGATGATTTGTTCGGAAATAACATAAAATAATATACTATTATTGTTTTTACATATTATGAGACCATTACACTCGATTACATCACTTTCATTCATTCCTTTTTATTAGGAACGGATATTAACCAAACTTATTTTGAACTGCAACAATACAATGAGGTATATAGCCATTGTTGAAATACTCTGAAACAACAGAATATTATTTGTCTGTCGAACTTTTTACGGAAGTACTTACAGAAGTGACAAGCTGTCTGTTCACATCTGAATATCCTTGCAAAGAAACTGTAGGAGGGTTCAAATGGATTGCCTTCAGAAATAATTCTATCTAAAATTAAAAATAATTGGTACCTACAAGAGTTCCTTAATGTACTTGACACAGCTGTTTTGACTTTTTTGTATATTCAGAGTTCGGCACTATGACAAGCACTCTGACAGCCAGATATAACCACAAATGAATGGGTTGGGGGCAAGAACTGTCAGATGACCGACCCTGGAGGTAAACCATTGAAACGCAACCTCACTTTTCTTATTTGTTTACAAGTGATTGGAATTGTTTTTCACAATTAGTTTGGCATATATGAAACAATGCACAAAAATGCAGCGGGAGACGAAGGAATCCGGTTGGTACATTATGATTTAGAAGTAAGTAGTCACCCACATATGATTTTCTTTTTTGTAAATTTGGTGATTTCTCTGATTTCTTATCGGAATTTCTTCTGCAATAGGAACTAATAGAAATACTCGTGACATTTCTAAAATAATGCAAGAAGATTGGATTCATGGAATCAAACGGGAGGACTGGTCTGTTATATGCTGACGAAATATGATATCGTGTGTGTGTTGTAGACATTTTAAATCTATTAGCAGTATTACGTTCTATTGCAGCAGTGGCAGAAGGAGTGTTGATGAAAAATGACAAAATTTCAAGAATCATACATTCCTTCGTCTATCGCTGCATTTTTTGTGCATTGTACAACAGCACAATGAGAAGTCATGCTTGAATTAATGAATAGCGCAAAAAACACGATGCGTATGCCAAAAACGTCAAAACAGCAATGTCAAGTACATTAAGGAACTCTATAATAACCTATTAGGATAATAGTGTCTACATACCTCCCGTGTAGTCTCTAAATCGACAGAATTCAATTTGATGCTCATTAGAGATGTCTGCACAGTTCCCGCAATATTTTCGGAAGCTTGGTGTGAGCAGTCGCAAAAAATATAAAGCAGCACCATACAGTAAACAGAAGCGACCAACAGCCCTATTTCTTTGAACGAAAACGATATTCCGTGATCCACAATTTCCGAAGTAAATCCATAGATCTAAAACGAAAATTATATCCGTTTGACGGCATACAGGATCATTAAGGTCATTCCGTATATTTAAACAGCTTCTACAGGGTGCATAATTGAAGATAGAAAAAAACTTCACATACAAAAAAGTTGTAGGGTTTGTTCTGAACCTCCTGAAAATTGTACGAGGTGAAACGAATGAATATCGCTGATATAAGAAATGGGTACCAATTTCGTTATTTAGAAATGGAACACCCTATATATTTTTAAAAAATATTGAAGATCTCTCTTTCCTAATTTCTAAAATATATGGATTGTTGATATTCGGTGAGTTGAAAATAACCGTGGCATTATTGATGATTTTAGCACCTAAAAATCTACCGAGAAATTCTTAAAAAATATGAAATTGAAAGGTATTTGAGTGATGATTCTATTTAAGAATTAAAAAAAAAATAGTCCACTCGTCTATTGCAATGAAGAATCAACAACACATAATAATATGCAGGTATTCATTAATCAAACTATCTGTCATACTTTCTTTGCGTACGTATGTGTTGTTGATTCTTCATGGCAACTGCGATTTGGTAAAACCAACTATACAGGGTGTTACATCACTAATTGGAAATATTTCAACCATAGAATCCCGAACTCAAAATATGACGATTTAACCCAAATCACCTAGATAAAATATGTATCCTGTCTGAGTTACAGGGTGTTTTATTCGAAAATTTTGAAATGTTTTTTGCCCAGTTCTTTAAAACCGTTTGACGTATCACTTTCATATCTGGAGGGAAGTGTAGGTATTATACATCCAACTGAATTATGTGAAATGAACTTTTCTAGCTATTACCAGAAGCGTACGACAGGGGCAAGTGACTGGTTGATCCTTCCCAAATTCTACGCCACTGGCGGAATTGCAATTTTATCAGAATTTTTCGATTCTTCAATACCTTCTTTGTAAATATTGTACTCCTTCTTTATAGCGATAAAGTCATTATTTTTCGAGATTTTTCAAGTAAAACATGAAGCAGCACAATTATTTTGATTTTAATGTATATCAATAATGTCGATATTTTGGATCAATGGACTGCATATATAGAATGTTCCATTGAATTTAACGAAGTTGATACCCATATTCCTTATAACTAAGCCTACAAATTTTGAAGTTTTTTTTTTCTTTTTTCAATGATGAACCCTATAAAAGCTGTTTAAATATATACGGAATGAGCCACAAAGTATATGTACGACATACCTATTGCTTAAAAATAAAATATATTTCTTCATTTCCTATTGGAGACAATTCACTTAATAATATTTCTACGCATTCGCAACCTTATTAGGTTAACTCAACCTGTTGAGGAATATCGATGTATACTTACTGCAATCGTTATAATGGTAATCATGAACAAGGAATATAGTGCGTATGTTCGAGCATAAGCATTCCCCATTTTTTGTAACAGCTCGCTAAGTTCCAACCATAAAACTCGGTATTGGGCTATAATATAGGCTGTACAATAATGATCAACATCCTCCAAAAAAAAAAAATAACATTCGTTTAGTAGTTTTTAAAAATGAAAAATATCCTGCTTACTGCCTGAAACGTTTCTGCTAAAGCTTTGCTGGCATTTCCGATTGCCCTACAATTGATGTACCATAGAGCACAGTTCATGTTGATCATGGTAATGATGTGATAGTAGGCCGTGGTGTGGTACAGGGTGAACCCTTCCAGCAGAGCGCTGAGCGTCAGCAGATAAATGAAAGCCAGTATGAGACACCCTAGGCTGATTATCACAATCAGGGTGCTCAAGTAGGGAAACGCCAAGTTTTTTCCTGAAAAAAATATTTCCACAACTGATGGTGTGTTCATAGAAAATAAAAGAAACATCTTTTTATAGATAGCCAAAGTTAAAAGACGTAGAAAATGAAATAATAAAAGTGTATTGATGAATACACAACATAATATTACCACCTCCGTAATCAATAGAGTCAAACCACGATAACTTGGGCAGCACGTGACGCACTATAATGCATACGCGACCACGTGATGTCTCAAAATTATCGTGGTCGGACTCTACATTCTACTTTGTGAATTTATCTACAAACTTTCATTATTTTATTTTCTTCCTCTTTCTAGTTTGGCTACCTCTATAAATGGGCGTTTCTTCAGTTTTTTAAACTACTATTCATTTTCTATTTTTCAGTTCCTCTAACAACAAAAGTGTGTTATTTAGTGTTCTTATATATTTTGATGAATGCATCATAATAATCTCCGACCCCGAGAACCCCCAGATACAAATTTAATTTTGAATAGAAACGTATCATAATTACAAAATTCCTCTACCGTGTTGGATCCGCCATCTTGAATTTCCGAATTTTGACGAATGAATCATAATCTGCGACCGTAAAAACCCCCAGATACAAATTTTGAATTGAATTAGATGATAATTACAAAACTAGTCCGTGATATTGGATCCGCCATCTTGAATTTCCAAAGTTCGACAAAAAAATCATAAACTCCGACCCAGAAAATTCCCCAGATACGAATTTTGAGTTGAATCTCGAATCATAATTACAAAACTCGTCCGCCATTGAATCCGCCATCTTGAATTTCGAAATTCTCACAAAAGAATCATCATCTCCAAACCCGAAAACCCCCAGATACCAATTTTGAATCGAATCTTTATTTAACTTGTCCGCCATATTGATGGATTCGCCAATCTGAAATTCTCAATTTTAACGAAAGAATCATTATCTTCGATCTCGAAAAACCTCCCAGATAAAAATTTTGAATAGATCGGATCAAAATTAGAAAACTCGTCCGCCATATTGGATCCACCATCTTGAATGCACCAATTTTGACGCAAGAATCATAATCTCCGATCTCAAAAACCCCCAGATACCAATTTTGAAAAGAAACGGATCATAAATACAAAACCCGTCCGCCATTTTGTTTTTTGTCTAACAAAAATTTCATGATGCATTGTCACTTAATTAACCGGTCCATTTGAAGTGGGTTAAAATCGAGTCCAGAAGAGTGGGAGATATCGGCTTCGCTGTTTGAGATAGATGAAAAATAATTTTTGTGATGGTTTAGGCTCATAATTGCAGCACATTTCAAAAATATTTCGCGTTATACAGGGTGACTCAAAAATGCGTGACGTATCAAAGTTATACTTGCATTTTCGGATTCTCCTTTATGAGCTGATTTCATCAATTCATCACACTTGAGCTCTAGCGAGAACGATTACAGAGATATAGGGTCAAAATTCAGAACTATATGAACCACCCTGTATTCGTCCAACTTGAATAGATAGTGAATCAAAAGTTAAGATAGGGACATATAAGCCGTTCTAATCATTAATAGTTTCGACCCAAAAAAATCCTAAAAAAGTTGAAAAATATCGATTTTGATAACACCCTATATCTCTGTAATCTTTTCCGCTAGATCCCGAGTGTGATGTATTGTTGGAATCAGCTCACAAAGGAGAATCTGAAAATGCAATAAAATACAGGGTGTCCTATAATAAAAAGTATAACTTTGATATGCCACGCATATTTGAGTCACCCTGTATACGCAAGAGCCTATAGACCATCACACAAATTTTTCTCAAAACAGCGAAGCCGTTATCTCATTTCGAAGACTTTTACCCTGGATACATACATACAGGTGAAGCTAATAAATAAAAGGGTGATAAAAATACCTGCAAGCTTATAATAGTGCAATTGAAACGTGCCCCATCCGTTCTTGTAATCGCATACTTCATAAGCTACCCCCCACCCAACGAAGGGTATCCAGAAATGGGGAACGAGGAAAATGATGAAAATGATGGAGTAAATGTACTCGTCGAATTTCCTGCTTTTGTTGAGAAGAATGTCCATACGTTCGTATCCGACCATCAAGACTACTACAGTCATCACTGTGTAAAATACGTAAGCGTATAACATTGGTCCACTCAACCAGCCGAAGGTGATCTTGCCTATTTTGCCACGTTCGATGGGCATAACACCAAGTATCTTGAAAAGAATTCGAGGTTTTATTAGTTGCTTAAATACAGTGTGTTACAATTTGGTCCACCCCACCCCTGTACTTTCGTATTCCTAAGGCGATTTGAATTTTTTTTCTCACAGTATACTACTCAAAATTATCTACTTTTTCGAGCAAACAAAATTCATCAATTACAATTTCTTAGCCTACGGCGATCACAAAAACTCCAGCAAAATTGAGGCATTTTTTTTTACAAAAAAATTGATGTAGGCAATCGGTTCGGACTAGTCACAAATACACTGGTATCAATTTTCAAAACAATATCTCATACGGGGTGGTTTTTATCTACGTTACAATTGTTGAATAATTGCACTTTTCAAGTCACCGTGTATAATATTTCTTAGAATTAGGCATGATGGTAGGATTAAAACATTTGGCTACAGAGTGAAGCAAATAACTGATAAAGTCACTGAAAATCAAGATTTTTCTATCTAATGAATAGAAACCAAATGATACCTATCAAAAAATTACAGCAAAAATCAGACAGAGAACAAAACAGCAATTATTATTCCTAACAAGTTCAAAATTTTGTATCCCCGATCAAATCTCCAATCTCTACGCACTTTTCATATCCCTTTCGTACGTTATTTTCAACTCTCCTCAGTTCTTCTGGTCGTATCTGTCTGCAAACTGTTTATTTGTCGCAATTAACTCTTCTCTATTTCTTTTCCTCAATTTGTATATCTTGCAGGAAAGTTGAAAATAACGTACGAAAGGGACATGAAAATTCGATTCGATCAAGAATACAAAAATCTGAACCTTTTAGGAATAGTATTGCTGTTTTGTACTTTGTCTAATTTCTTATGTTATTTTTTATGGGTATCAATGGGCGTGTACACCTCAGTAGAACTTTTAACTCAAACCGTGTTTATAATGATCCTTTTATACATAAATAATGATTGACGACATAATTCGATCGAAAAATTATCTGGAATGTTTTATTTTTGAACTTAAATAATAGTACCCTCTGAAAACGGACCCTCTTATGACGTAGAAACCTCATCTCGCCATAGTTTAAAGAAAATACCAAACGCCCGACGGAGACTGAGGCAACTGATATATTAATTCTTTCAACTGTGATCTCGCGCTAATTCACTATGTCAGAAATCATGTATCATTCATATTTGTCTAGAATAGTCTTGTTTCAGTATTAGGGTTCTGACGTCACATCATCGCCTCGTTTTCAGAGGTCCGAAAAATCGGGGATTTCAATAATTTTTTATAAAACGTAGGGAGCTCACAGCAAGAAACAGTTTGCGGTGGTGAGCTAGTTCTATCGAATTATGAAATAAAATTTTTTTGTGATATAAGCCCATTAGTTTCTATTCATTTCTTGATGAAAAAAAATCTTAATTATCAGTGATTTTATCAGTTATTTATCTCACTCTGTAGCCAGATGTTCTAATCCTGACTACCATCATACCTGATATCATTCATTTTCTAAGAATTTTACTCGGTGACTTGAAAAGTGCAATTATTCAAAAATTGTAACGTTGATGAAAAACACCCCGTAAGTAATATTGTTTTGAAAATTGACATAAAGAGTATTTGTGACTAGTCCGAATTGATTGCCTACATCAAAATTTTTGTAAAAAATGCCTATTCCGTTTTCTTCAGTATTGCTGGAGTTTTTGTGATCGCAGTAGGCTAACAAATTGTAATTGAAGAATTTTGTTTGCTCGAAAAAGTAGATAATTTTGAGTAGTATACTGTGAGAAAAAAAAATTCAAATCGCCCTAGGAATACAAAAGTACAGGGGCGGGGTGGACCAAATTGTAACAAACTGTATATGATAATAATAATTTAGGTAGGTACTTCAAAAACTTCATAACATACCCAGCAGACAATTCTGGTCGGGCTTATACTGTCCCATAATATGCTGGCCAGAAAGGCAAAATTCCTGTGAACATTAACTCTGGCTGTCATCAGGGCCAGTACATGTCTGCCGATACATTCAATAAAGAAAAAAAAGAGGACCGCCACAGGATTCGAACCCCTGTCCTCCGCTATAACTTGGTTAAAAACCGAACTTATATTCCAACTGAGCTACTACACATTTATTGACATATGAGTACGGAATGTATTTGCCGTTAACTTTCGAATAGGAATATTTCATTAATAATTATCATCATCATAACAGATATATACAAACGATGAACTTGGAAAAACATCCAGATTGACTACAGAATTTCTAACATACCTATTTTATGAGTCAGACGACTTGCCTATTTTATTCATGGCCGAATTTGATGACTTTCATGATAATATTTGAATGCAAAACCGCAGAATAGCGCAGTGGTTGAGCGCTCGACTAGCAATTAGAACACCGAAAGGTTGCTAGGTTCGATTCCTGGAAGAGCAGAGAATTTGTATTCATAAAACGAGATAAATTCTAAGTTTTGTAGCCTCATCCGGAGATGATTCCCCACGATTCGCTATTGCGTTCCAATTAACAGTGCTGCTCCTAAGGTGGCGTATGGAGTTAGTAACAAACCCTACACAGAACACACATGACCTGAAGGACCTCTCGTAAGGTGGATGTCCAGTTGGTATGTACATACATACATACCAACGAAGTGTTTATTTTCAGTGTATCTCCCGCTCCTGTAATTTTCAGAATCCTAACTCGACAATTACGAAACATATACAGGGGTGCTTCCATTCGAAGTGAGACACACTGTATAATATTCATCTTGAGTTAATTCTGATCTTCAGATCTCTTCATCTGAAGTTTAAGCTTCAAAATGAGCTGGAGATTTCAAAAATTGGTTGACGATCAAAAAAGTTATGACTGCAAAACCAAAGAGTACATTTTTTGAGATCACTCAGTAAACAAAAAAGATGGAGACAATTCGAGAACTGCCCCAAGATAATGAGATCATACATGCCTCTACTGTCAAAGTTGAAAAAAAAAGTATTTCTTCATTTGGGATACTTTTGAAATTTCCGAAATTTTGTACAGTTTCAGGTTAACACCCTGTAGCGATCTTATGTGAAGAACCTTATATTTAAAAGAATTACGACATTATAGCTGGAGAAAGGGGCTAGCGAAAAATATGATCCGAGTTCGAATCGTTCAAAGCAGAAAAAACTTATTCATATTTCAACAGAGGCAAAATTTTGGAATGCGACGAAATTAGTGTTGCATAGTTTAGTCTTACTCTGAAAAGGGCCAACAAAAGTTTGTGATCCCTGTAGAACTGATCGTGCTCGTCAATCACTGCTCCATCTGCCGAATTCAGTTTCGATCTTTTAGCTATTTCTTGTGCTCTCGGACTTTGCCTGCCGAATTTCGGTATTTGTTTGATGTGAAGTTCTTCTCCATAGAGGTCTGCAATGTCTTTCAGCTCCATGTTCGATGAATTTTTGGCTACTGAATGATTTTAGGGAAGGTATAATTATTATTCGGTAATTGGTAATCGATAATAGATTAATAATACGAAATGGCGTGTCAAGTTGAAAGAGGAAACTGGGTAAATATTTATTCAAGGAAACGTTATTAAAGTAATTATTATTGCCTATATTATAATCGACTGAAATACCTACTCACAATACCACTAAAATTATTGTACTCACCTCTTTTTGACTTAGGTACCTACATAAATTTTATACAGGGTGTTTCAGATTTAAATGAACATACATACGATACCCATAGATAGAGGACACTTTGATGGTTCCAAATCACCCCCAATTGATGCACCTATACCGCCTATGCAGGACGTTATCTTGATTTTAGTAAAATCTTCATCTGGTCATAATTTTCTGACCACTTTGTATAATCTATCCATACTTGGTTGAAATATTCCACTTATATTACCCATATGAACTAAATGAAAATCGGGATCACAAACCAGGTCCGTCTTGAGGGAAAACATAAAACTAATTTCATTTCAGAAACAACACTCTGTAAGGCAAAATTTTGTATATTGTCTGTTTCGATATTTGAAAAGAGCGGGAGGAAATAAATATAGTTATATACCTACTTTTTAGCAGCGCATCCGGTTTGACAGATGTTTTATTATTATTTTTCGAAATACTCAGCTCCATTTTGAGGCATTTTGATTGAACTCGTAATTCAAAATGAAATTTTAATTCAAAAATGTAACAGTTCAAAGTTCAACATCAGAGTCAAAGTAGATGAACTATCGATAGATTTGTTCATTTGACAGGAAAACTTGTCTATGATTTTTTAAATTTTCGACTTCTCATTTTATCCTTCACTATCAATTCATGAGCTACGGTAAAGTAGGCTGCGCAAAAAAATCTGATATTCTGACAGTTTATAAACACTAGTGCGATATCATTCTGGTAACGTTAGGATACTTTTTGGTGCTTGTATTGGGTTATTCTCTTATTGTTACATTTCAAAGGGTTCATTTCCAGCGAGCACAAACATCCCTGGGATGTTTTGGGATGTTTTGAAAATGTTATTTTGAGACATAATATGCACTGACCAAAGAGGTCTTTGAAGGATATTGAAGTATTGTTTTTGTTCTTTTGTGCCCTTTCTTTGTTTGCCCCACCACAACGTCTCATGCTTACGTCACAATACGATGAATTCTGATTTGTTTCCGATTTTGTTCTTCTTGTTCGCAATTGGCATTCGCGTTTGAAGCGTGTCACGCTTACATCACGCTGCTAACGAACAGAAAGGAATTTGGTGAAGTTTATTGTGTTAGAAGACTTATTTAGTTTGTAATAATGACCATCAGATGCAAGATGTGTTGTTCGGTGCCTCAGTGTAATCAATATATAAAAGTACGAATTCATCAATACACAGCTTCTCCGCAGTTGCAAAATTATGCATTGTGGAGAACATTTCAAAAATTGGGAAACCTATTTCCAAGCACTACTCAGAAACCGATTAAGAAGGTAATTTCATATCAAGAAAATATTTTTATGTTCAATCTATTTTTAATGCATTTTTTCATTCAAGGGAAATGTAGTTCTAATGCAAAAGTTCATTTTGACAAAAGGCTTCAGAAAAGTACCTCGAAAATGGTTTTTTTACAGCGATTTAATGTTCTCAAGACGCGTTGAAAATGTTCTGTTGTGTCCATGAAAAGGCTTCAAAAAGAACTAGGGAGAAGGTAGTTTTGTGACATATCAAGGACATCTCGATAATTGCCGCCTGCGGCGGACATTGGCTGTTCTATAATAGTTTCTATTCATGTGTGAACAGAACATCGCAGTGGAGGTTCAATGTCTCGAAATCTCGTACTTTTAACATCTCTGAGATGTTTTTGTGCTCGCTGGGTTATTATACCTGAACACAATAAAATATCATACGATAGTGATTATAAACTGTCAGAATTTTAATTTTTCTTGCACAGCCTACTTACTTTACCGCAGCTTATGAATAGATATTGAGAAATAAAATGGGTCCTCGAAAATTTTTAAAATCATTTTGACAATATAGTTATTCTGTCAAACGATCAAATCTATCGATAGTTAACCTAATTTGACTCTAATTATGTTGAACTCAGAAGACAGTTATTTATTTGTATCAAAATTGGATTTTGATAAAAATGCCTCAAAATTGAGCTGAATATTTCAAAAAATAATAATCAACCATTTGTCAAATTGGATGCGCGCCCGTAAAAAGTAGGTCACAGAATGATGTTCTTGAAATAAAAGGAGTATTTCTGGTATTCCTTAAGACGGACCTGGATTTTGATGTCGATTTTTATTTAGTTTCATGGGTAATATAAGTGGAATATATCTACGAAGTATGAATACATTATACAAAGTGGTTCGAAAATTATGACCAGTTATAAAATACGATCGATGGGAGGTGATTTGAAACCATGGAAGTGTTCTCTATCTGCGAGTATCGTATATGAATACATTTTCTCAAATTTTCCAATATACTAGGTTAGGGGATACTTTTTGGAAAAAATACCATTATAGAAACACACATATTTTATTTAACATTTCATTAATATTTTCAAAAGCAATAACACATCATCCTGTCTTGAACTAATAATATAACAAACAATATTGAATTAAATTGAGTGTAAAAATGTGAGGCAATTAATTTAATAATGATATACAACATAATGTCATTGATTGATTTTATAGTGCATCAAACTCTTTCAATTTCAGGACAAAATATTTATGTTTAGTATAAGTATAATCCTCAATCCATGCACATAAAAAGCACCATCGATATTCAAGTAATAAGTACTATAGTTTGATCACATTTTTCGAAAAGATAATATGAAGATGGTTTTTATAGCAAATCAAATATCGACTTCAAGTCGAAATATATTTCAATCAAACTATTATTTTGAATAGAAAAATATTTAGTGATCAAATTCTCTTAAAACGAATACAGGGTGTATCTGAATAACCCCGAAAAAATTCAAGAGGTGTTTCCTTGTGATATTCGAGCAAATAAAGTTCATATGAACATGTTTCCTAACTTGCTCCGTTTTTGAGATACAGGATGTTGTGGTTGGAAGTATTAATTGTTTTTATTTATGACCGCCCTGTATAAGCTTTTATGGTGCCAAAATTCAGTATGGATGGAGACTGAAAAAGCCCAAAAATTTCAAAATGATTCTAGTTGGGGTTATTGGGTAATCTAATCTATAATTGCACTAGAAGAAGCTCCATATTACTATCAACAAAATCACAACGTTTTATTGGAATTGATGAAGAGACAATTGAGAAATGAATAGAAAAAAGATTTTTCATGGAAATTTTAATACCCTGTATGTTGAAAACGAAGCAAGTTAGAATACATGTTTATATGAACTTTATTTATTGACATATCGCAAGGAATCACCCCTTGAATTGTTTCGGTGTTATTCAGATACACCCTGTATATTGTATAGGGAAGTTTCATAATGATTACTAAATATGGAAGCTACATTGACTAGGTACCATTATGATGAATATAGGTAGATTTGAATAATAGGAAACTGATCCTGGTGCAATAACCTATTTCATATACATTGATGCAGTATCATCTTTTGACAAATAATCATAATTTAGTAAGAGCTCATAAACGAGTCTCAATCTATGTATAGCTATATACCTACCTACTTTATTCATTGAAAAAAAAACTCGAAAGTGATTGCAACAGGAGGTTTGTTATTTGGCTTTAAAGAATGTGAAGATAAATATTTCTACCATTTCTACATCATCGAAAAAAGGCACATTGATTCAAGTACGAGTGAGTTTACTTAGATATAATGAATATTTATTTGCCACAGTGAATATTATGTAGGTATATCGTATTGTTGACGTGATATCATCAATGAATAACCAACGAAAATATAAGATACAAATTTTATCAAAACCTCAAACAGTTAGTTTTTAATGGTTTTATTTGGTTTTAGAAACAATATATAGATATTTGCTGAACTGCATTCGGTATAAATCACAAAAAATTAACAAAATGTTTCTGAAAATATAAAGATTTAACAAAATTGAATTATCAACAAAATAGACAATAGCAATATTTTACATCTTCCTAAATTAGTAATATTAGTATTTATAAACAAAATAACTATCGAACCGAGAAGATTGATCAAAATGTTCGATTAAAGTGAATGATGATTGTTAAAAAAATAATCTGTAGAACGAATTGTGTCGAAAAAAAGTAGTAGGGTATGATATACAGAATAATTTTTGACTAGTCGTGGGGAACGATAAGTATATCAGGTATAGGTAGATTCGATTGTTCGTTTAAACAAAATCTTGTAATATTCAGTTGACAACAAAATTTTTCAATGCCGATAAAAGCTATGTTCCGAATTCAACTGTCAGTACTGAATCTACTGATTATTTGTTTCGAAATGAAAAAAATTTCACTAAGGCTATACTTCGCTTTGAACTGACAGTACTGAATCTGCTAATTTTTGACTCCGAAATAAAAAAAATTCACTGAAAGTGACAGATACTTTTGAGCAGACATACTATACATTCTAAATATTTCGACTCACCATTCTGCTGAAATCGCTGACTATCAAAAGGTAGTGTGGCTTCAGTAAACTGTCATTATTTCAGAGGGGGGAGGAATGTAACATTCATTTCCGTTGTTTTTCAAACATTTGAGGTGGATTCAAGCAAGATCAACTAAATTATAATAAATTTAAGATTTAAATGAATTTTAAACTAAAAAGTTATGGGTGCTCAGGCAATAACCTTTCATCAGCTGTTTAATCTTTTTCCAGCGTGGCTAGTTATTATTTGACACATGAGCTACCGTAAATTATGAAAGAAATCAGTTTAGTTTTAATTTTAGTTTCAATTTTTCAGTTTCTTGCATGAGCACCTACATTACATTTCATAGTTTCATATAATTGGTTTGAGTTCAAAATTCATTTAAGTTCTTGATTTTCCTTGTATCAATCCACCTTTAGTCTTGTGTTATCAATAATAAATCAAGTATATCATATTTAATATCATTAAATGCCTGTTAAAATAATTGACGGTGAGAATAATATTCAAATTTTACCAGCTGATCAAATCAACTCTTGCTGATGACTGATGGAAACCATGAAAACGTGTTCCGAATTACAGCACAATATTTTTGATTTTATATTTCGGATCACAATCCACAGTCAGTGGATTTACTAATAGTATACTGAAAGTGGAGGTTCTCGAGAGCAGACCACAGGAGAAGGAATCTGTCAATAATGAAGTGAACAAATTTTCATGACATGAAATCATACAAATGTTATAGTTAGCTACATCATCGTGATTAATTCATGTTTCTCCAGGAAAATTATTCTTCGATCATTATAGAGATTCTCATTCGTGCGCTCTGAACGATTAAAAAAATATACATTCTGCTCGATTTGTCATCGATTTTCCATCATGGAAACCCTTCTAAAACGATTAGTTGCTGGTCCACGTACGAATTATCTCATTTTTATTGGTTTTATTCCAAATTTAATTGAAAAAAAAAAAAATTGTGAATAACTGAATAGTGACAGCTCACTTCTGTGAAATTTGTTCCGGATTTTAGCACACGTATTCATAAGACTATATTCCGAATTAAACTGATCAGTTCTGTCAGTAGATTGACTGACTCTGCTGAAAATCTGTTTTCCGTAATATAAAATCAAAAATACAGTGCTGTAATTTGGAACACGTTTTCATGGGGATCAGCAGCAGTTGATCAGATGGTAAAATTTGTCAGTTGTCCGGTTGTCACTTCTGTACTTCCTCGTTTATCTGAACTAGATATTTGGCCGCTATTGATCTGGCAAATGATCCTGCTTGAGCTGAATTTGGGAAATTTGATATTCAACATGGTAGAGCGATCGATTCTTGTAGTCTCCATAGTTTCTACGATTATTGACGATGACGATTCAAGCTCGATAGTGTTGAAGAATATTTGGACATTTTGTTGCCATTAATTTTGCATGATGCACCAGATTCAGAAATGAAAGATCAATGGAAAACGTAATATAGCATAATTCAGATGATTAATTTGGGAGCCATTTCAGGTTTATTTCGTTATTTATCCAGGCAATGCTGTTTCTTCTTTTGCTACCTCTACTACTTCATACTTGATCATCATATTATCCTCAGCGTCTTATATTTTGATAACAGGTATTTTCTGATATTGATATTATTAATTCATTATTCTTAAAAGACAAGATTCGATGTTCAAAAAACAACGGGAATAAATGTGACATCAATTCCCCCTCTAAAATAATGACAATGACAGTTCACTGAAGCCACACTACCATTTGATAGTCAGCAATTTCAGCAGAATGTTGAGCCCAAAAATGTTAAATGAATAGTATGTCTGCTCACAAGCATCTGTCACTTTCAGTGAATTTTTTGATTTCGGAATGAAAAATCAGCAGATTCAATACTGTCAGTTCAATTGGGAATATAGCCTTTGAATACTGACCTATTTCGGAACACCAGTGTCAGTGGCACTACTGACACTGCCGACAGTTGAATTCGGATCATAGCAGCCAAAGTAGATCGTACAATTCTAATACAATCACATAACATTATATACTTCTCCTTTTTTTTATCTACCGTCAGGCTTGGGAATGTTGGTGTTGTAGGCTCTTATAACGTCTGACTGTGACACTACGCCTCCTTCTTCTTGTGAAAAAGCGAATCCATCTAATAGTGCAAAAAATACCATTTCATCAATTTGAACGTCTTCACAGATTCACGAAGCTTTCCGTGCAAAACCAGAATTAATTTCCAATCGAAATGTCTTCAAATCAAATTTAAAGAAGACAATGCATGAATTGTAGATCTTTTTGGTTTCGCCAAAAGCTTCTCAATCATTGAAACTCAACATATACCTGACAGCTACTGTATTAGTAATAATTATCTATTTATTCATACAGCATTATCAAAATGCTCAGCCCTTTTACATGTTTCAATCGATACAAAGTATGGAGTGTTAGGAGTTGTTAAGTTTTTATGGATATTGTTAATCCCAGCCGAAATTATAATGCAATACCAATTAATTTTTACCGCACCATTTTAGATCAGAAAGTCACATATAATACATATCAGTAATAAAAGCATAGACGCACTTGAATAGGCGAGTGGAATTTTTTTTATTCCTTAAATAGAATCATCACTCAAATACAATCATATCTTTTCAGAATTTTTCGGTCTCCGAAATTCAACAATTTCGAACAACGCATACACTCCTTATTTACATAGGAAGAGTATGAGAAGTGGTGCAAAAACTATTTTTTCATGTTCTGGTTCCCACGAAAAGGGATATCCTATAATGTTCAGAGAACATCGTGAGAACCATGGGAAATAATGTAGGAATTGGTGTTCTCCTTAAATTTCTGGAGGTTATATGCCTCGGGGAACACCTCCCTTGGCAATGTGTTCCAGAGATATTCTGCAGGTCTCCAAAGTGACCACGAAGAAGTGCGAAGCCTCAACTCGACGGGTTAACCTCGCGGGGACTGCCAAGGGAGGAACAATTGTTGATATTTCAGAAGAGAAACGTCCATGAAAATATCTATAAAATAAAGCCAAATCGACAACTTTTTTACGGTGTTCCAGAGAAGTGAGTGAGTTTGTGAGCGAGGCATCACCCACGAGACGAATTGCCCTTTTTGGACAGAATCCAACAGTTTCAGGGTATGTTTGGGTGCTGCACTCCAAATATGGCAACATTATTCCAGGACAGGTCTGATATGTGCCTTATATAGATCATAACCAGCTGAACCTAACCTAACCTGGCCCGAAACAGAAAACCAAGTTTTTGGGATGCACTTTTAGCAATTGATCTCACGTGATTTTCCCAAGAAAGGTTATTGCTGATAGTGACACCAAGCATCGAAATGGATGTCTTTGAAGGTATGGTTACTCCTGACAAGCTTATGTTGGGCACAGTGAGATCGGCTTTTCTAGAGAGAAGGCATGCTTGTGTTTTGTTAGCATTGAAATCTACCAAGTTATTAGATCCCCATTCGAGAATTGTTACCAAGTCCATATTTATGTTGTCAACATTTCTCCCTCGTTTGTTTCTGATTTGCCTAGCTGGTATTGGAGCCCTGGAAGAGAAGGCGGTATGGAGGGTACTATCATCCGCGAAGCTGTGTACAGGACATGAAGTTGCTTTCAACAAATCGTTGATATGGAGTAAAAATAGTGTTGGTGATAGAATTGATCCTTGCGGAACACCAGCATTCATGATAAGAGAGTCAGATGAAACTCCGTCGACTAATTTAGGTCCTTAACGACACAGTGGATTAATTGAATGCCAATAATCCATTGTCAGTCCACTCGCCCATTGTCAAATGAAAAAAGCTAATTAGAAAATTGTTTTGTCAAGTATTGGCGATAGCAAATAAGCGTACGCCACCTATCGGAGTTCTTGGAAGCTGTCAAAGCGACCTGTTTACTTTGTTTTCATTGGTTCGCATTTGTTTCTTGTATGTGTTTATTGGTCATACTGACAAAACAAACCGCTCAGAAGTGTTCTAGTAGTTGCCGTCAGATGGAGCGACGTTATGTTCTATCACGAAAAGATTCTGAGCGGTACCTATCTTGTTTTGTGGCTTGAATGTCTGGAAAGTGTATCTAACGCACTCAGGCTCGCGTTTCGCACAATTTCGTTAAGTTGAAACAGGCGCGTATCCTCCAAGGAACATATACAGTGTGGTTCAAGATTCAGAATTCTGATCACCCTGTATCTGTTCCAATTATTAAATGTCAGTAGATAGTAAATTAAAAGGTAAGATATGGACATGAAAGCCGTTTTGACCGATAATGGATAGTTTCGTCACAGAAAAATCCTAAAGTTGAAAAATCTCGATTTTGAACACCCATCTCTGTAATCATTTTCGCTAGACTCCCTGGTGTGATATATTGATGAAATCAGCTCTTCAGGAAGAATCTAAAAATACAATGAAAAATAGGATGTTCCATTTAAAAAATCAAATAGTACCCTGTAGATCGTTTGTTCCGAGCACCTTGTATTTTCTGATGTAGCGGAAAAAAACTCTATCAAAAATCATTTTAGATGATATTTAAAATTTTACAATCGGTTCAAAAATAACTGAGCTAGAGGAGGGGGGACATTTTCCTCCTCCTTTTTCAACTATTGTTGTTACGTCTATGGCCCATTTTTAGACACCACTCAAAGAAACAAGATCCAGAAAATACAGAATTCCTGTTGCAGATTTATTTTTGGTTTGAGAAAATATGACCATATTTCTGAAAAAATCAATAGTCTGAAATGGTTAAATATGGCTAATCGGCGAACCGCCCAATATTCTGCATTTATTCGAAAGATTGTACAGAGTGGTATGACCACTTATTTACATGAGAAGTTAATTCCCAGAAGGAGCATTCACGCTGTCAATGTTAGATTCCCTGATAATTTCAATATTCCCCGTCATTCAACAGCCATTTTCCGAAAAGGGTTTTCTTTTTTTGCTGCAGATTTGTATAATAGAATAAGTACAGATATAAAGAATTGCAATATATATACATTCAAAAAGAAAGTCAAGATGAAATTGCTGACGGAACAACAATAGTTCACCCTTTTGGCTTTTTTTCTTCTTTTGACCGCATGTCAATGTTATATGATTAATGATTCTCCCATTTTTGTTAATGTCTATAATTAGGTTTTCTAATACATGATTATAATATTATAGTATATAGGTTAATACTATTATTATAGATAGTATAGGTGGTGTTGATCATTCCGGTGAACACCGGAGGATATACACATTTCTTGTTATTAATAACATAGAGGTTAAGTGTAAGAATAGCAATCATGCTAAACTTCGCCTCCACATTTCTGTATGTATGTACATTCGTACTCAACCGATTATTCAATAAAGAATTATTATTATTATTATTATTATTACATTTATGGTGAATCACCCTGTACCTAACAACACAGTGAAGTAATTGAATACCGCTAATTCATTATCAGTCTACTCACCCATTCTTTGACAAGTGAATCAGCTTATCGCTGGATTATAAATACTCTTCAAATATGCGCAATGCACTTCTCATTCACAATTTGAGATCGAAGCGCGAACCTGAATGCTCTAAGACCTAATGCGACTAGCCGGTGTGTTAGTGGTGGGGGGAAGCTCTACTCACGTGACAGCTCTACGTCCTGTTCGATCCTGCTCTGCACGGTCCTTCGAGTGAAGACGTTTCTCAGCAAGCGAGCAGTCTCGGATAGTCTGCAACGAGGTCAACTACTGCTAGGATAGTGTTTTTTTTTGCAGAAGTGTCAGTTTACGTACCGTTTAGACAAGCGCATGCGTCAGTAAAGCGATTGTGGCAGGTCCAAGCAGGAAAAAAGGGCTCAAATTCCAAGGATGAAAAATTTGGCTAATAGGCGAGAACAGATTTATCGTTGAATGTCCATGTTGGTTATTGATGTCAGAATAAAAACATTCCATAACCTCAATTTCATAATAATTTGACTTTATTTGTTGTTTGTCGTTGAAATTATTGAATTATTTTGTTGATTTCTTGATACAAAAAAGACTATGGGATGCACTCATCGAAGTGGTAATCGATTTAATAATCATTTTTTACTACCGCTAGTTTCAAAAAACCCAATTATTTGTATTGCCAATTTGAAAAATCAATGTCTGCTACCTATAGCACTAATGAATTATTCCCTCCTAGTAGTTAATAATGAAACACTTGACTGAATGTATATCATAAATGCAATATCATGAATGTCAACTCTCGTTACTGTCAATGATACCATGACATTCCAATTAGTAAAAATAATATTGTTAATGAAAATGATAACCTATAACATCTACATCATTTGGCAGTATTGGAATTATTGTTCCATAACAGTTATGTGTACACCAAGGTAGTAAAGAAAATCACTAATACCCAGGGACCAAGATTATATCCGAGGGGTATGAGGTCACATGGTATAGTATATTGTACAACGAGCACGGAATGCTAGTTATTTCCCACGAGAATAGGCAAATGCTGCAAATCATACGAGTGAGAAATTAGCATTCCGTGCGAGTTATACACTATACTTTTTCTACGGCTGTAACAGATAACAGCGAACTCTTCGCTCATCTATAATACAGAGCTGTCATTGCTTGAAATCAGACATTTCATTGGAGATGAGGTTCTGTGAAATAATGACACAATGAAGTCATTGTGATATCAAATACGAAAATGAAATATGATGACATACAAAGTACCTCATTGATTTATCGAACACAGTAAAACAAGCGCAATTTTGTGTTATAGCCGTAGAAAAATAATATTCTTTACTACCAAGGTGTACCTATACTAAATTTTGTTCACCACTAACAATATATTTCAATTATAGTTCTGTGAAACTGAAATAGGGAACTCTTGACACTATTAAAGCACTTATTTTCAATTCTAATGAAAATCTAGTAGCCTAGACCAATAAGTTCTTATTGATGAATACCTATTAGATTCAAGGGCCATTCCTACAAATCTCGCATCAGGAAAGTGAATTCAGGTTGATTATAACAGAGGTAGCTATGTTTTTATTGACTTGTAGTGCATGAAATGGCGGAATTTACTTTGGTAAAAAAATACACTTTAAGCCTTGAAAAGGAGAAAATATTCCTAGATTATATAGTTATGTAGTGGTGGAAAAACATAATAATGAGGAATAGAATGAATGAAAAAATATACTTATGAAAAATCGCAGAGGTATTTCAATTTCCAGGTACCATTGACAGTGATGAAGTTGACATTCATGACATTGATTACGCTAGGGACAATTTGTTGCCAACCCAAGAACGATGAAAAAGATAAAAACGGACAGCTATTGCATAATGATCAAGATCACCATCAGATTATCATTTGAAGAATCACTTATCTGATAGCTCCAAGCGAATTACGATAACATCGACATAATAATGAAGATTTTACATTTAGTTATTAGGGAAATATGTAGTAGCAGTGAAAAAAACTATTCGCGGTAATCAATGCTACCAGGTGGCGCTCGGATCGTTCCATGTCAAAGCCACGTCAAAAGTGGGGGAAAACAAACTCAATCCTCACTTAAAATCCCATTAGTGCCATTAGCTTGTGTACTGTGTACTGATAAGAGTGATAAGTTTTTAAATTTCTTGACATCATATTGTCAATATTCGATCGAAAACGGTAATAATGCCTGTTGTATGTTCTCTCGGCAGATATTTTCCTCTATTTAGATGAAAAAAGTCGACCAGTAGTGGAAGGATAAGAAGCAGTTCTCCGTGCTAATCATGTGATTTTGTGTGAGGCAGAAGACTTCAACAAAAGGCACATTTTTGCACTTTGTCTACAAACTTCGGCGATGAAATTTTAACCACATGAAGTAAAATTGAAGTTGGGGTCCAAACGAACTCCTGTAGAACAATGGATTTGTATTTGTTCATGCAAAGCAGGACAATCTGGGTATTGTAAACATGTCGCAGCTGTTCTTTTATATGTCAGTTGATTTGCTCGTCATAATTAGTTTGAATTGTTTGAACTATCTCCAATTCTTCACCCGTTCACTCTTCACTAAACTAATAAAAATGCAATAATGTAAAAAAATCAACCAACTCAACCATCATGACTACCAACAGTGCCAACACTTTATGTCATTGACAAGTTTGACTACAGCTACAGCCAGCTGAATGCATTGTAGTCTATGCACTTTATCCATAGACAACAGTTTGTTTTCCCCCAGTTTGAAGTTCGTATTATGTAACCTAGATGTCGCCCACTTCGTGAATCTCGCGTATAGATAAACCACGATACAAAAGACTGTTCGAGCCTCCCACACTTTTTTTCTTCGATGCTGAAGGACTAGGACAGTTCAGCTTAAAAAACATCTTCTGTTTGTTATAACATTTTCATTTTGGTATTTTCGATTGTGAGTTTAAATTATCGTTGTTTTTGCATAGTTCCGCACAAAAGAAGAATACAACGCTTGTTGGAATATATGGTATTGCAAAATGGAATTTTGAGCTCTTCATTCGGTGGTTAGATGTGATATCCATTCAAAATGGATGATCATGCGGTCATAGAGAGATACTTACATATTACGAATTGCTCCAAGGCATGCATAGGTCTTGCAAAACAAATACGAATGATTACTAACACAGATCAACTTACTCGGCATAAACAATGAAAAAGTTTCGTTACAACATTTAAATCGATTTTCATCACAAATTATGGCCGTTTACTGAATTAACTCCCAAAGGAAGGGAGTAGTATTAAAATGAGGGGTGAATTCAGGGAACGGCTTGAACATTTAGTAATGTAACAATTTATTATATCTATAAAAATAGATCTCACACACTTATGAGCTACATTCATTGGTACTTTGGGGGTATTCTGAAGACTACATTGGATTTATTCAGGAACAAATGGGATATACCGGGTGGGATATACAGGGTATCGGGCCACCCCTGTAACTTCTGCATTCGTCAACGGATTTCTCTGAAATTCGGTACAGTTATATATGCAACTATTTCGGATTTGATCACATTACAATCCAATATGGCAGACTTCCGGTTTTTCTGGAAATGCCAGCAACTTTGCTTTTTCAAATAGAACACCCTGTATATTTATATATATTCAAGTTCAAAAAGTCAAAACAAGTGCAATCTTTATTTAAAATGTCATTTTTTCGAAAAAATTTGAATTAAAATTGTTTTTTCATTATACCTCGTGGATAAATGAGATGTGGTCAAGACTATTCACAATGAGTCACACATGACAGAAAAACATATGTTTTTCTGAAAGATTATTTTTTGTGTCACTTATCCAGGAATCAATTCAGCCACATCACTTTTTGATCAAAAATTCATTTTTTTCAAATGGAACCCATATGGGCCACCTACACGTCTCTCTAGAACATACATTAAGGAAAAAAAATGACATAACATTTTTGTTTTTCGGTGCAGTAACAAATTGAATACATTCAAAAATCAACAACTAGTATATGAATTTCCTTGCAGTTCGAATAATTTTTCAACTAGGTAAGCTGTGGAAAACAAAATTTCTGAATCTTGTCAACTAATTGTGTTTCGCTGTCATTTTTTATCTCAACTCTCGAAAATTAGTTAATTTACGAGAATAAGTAGAAATGGAAAATCAAAATAATAGGTTCAGAAGAACCGGAAGTCCGCCATATTGGATCGTGATGTGCTCAAATCCGAAATGATTGCTTATATAACTGAACCGAATTTGAGAAAAATTTGTTTACGAATGCAGAAGTTACAGGGGTGGCCCGATACCCTGTGTCACCCGGTATTTTGTTCACCTCAAGGATTCTTAAATTTTACACTTCTGGGCAGAACATACTAACAAAATGTTGTTTTTGATTGGTAATTTCAAGATAAATTGTCCGCCTCCGCTACGCGTCGGAAGACAACACAACCTGGAGCTAAAATCTACTACTTTTTTCCCTTGTATAATAAATAACTATTATTACTTTATAATACCAAATTCATCAGAATCATTCCTATAAAATCTGATGAATAAATTACTGAATCAAAAAAGTTATTCAATATCTTATTCAAACAGAATACTGCTTGTCTGTCTTTTCAGCCCAGAAGTATAGAAAACGTATCATTTTCTTCTTTTGAAAAATATCAAATATACAGGGTGTCCGGAAAGGTCATGTCGTAAATGATAGGGCTGATAGAGTGAGCCGAAGCCAAAATATTGTCAGTACCTCAAGTAAAACAAAATGTCTATCGTACTTCGTTACGGAGTTATTGACCTTGAAAGTTTCTGTAAGTCTATACATATGCATACTCATCATTACTAAACTCATCCATGATGTTACCAAAGTTTTGCATACTATCAAAATAATTGTATATCAACTATGACAATGACTGCAACTACTATGATATTATTGAATAGATCATATTATTCTATTCGATTTGAGAGATCAGAGGATTTTGATTTTTCTTGCTCTCTTTTTGGATATTCAACAGATATAATTCAATGCTCGACGTGGCGAATAGCCAGGAAAGTAGTTGTTTTCTGTTGATATTCAAAATGATATTATGTGCATATCCTTATATGAAGGGAAATGCAAATTCTCAATGTATTGCTTTATATTGTAAATAATATATTCATTTTTTGTGTTCATAAATATATCTGAGAATATCCCTTTTAAATTTTTTTACTATTATTGATCCTGAAATCTGTGGTTGAAATCTTTTCATGTAATTTCGGGATACCCTGTAAATGATATTCTAGATTACGAAACCTTGAATGAACAATGTTACAAGGAAATTGTCACTATTGTGCGTGATTTGGTAGGTACAGTCTCATTTTATACTTGTAGGATAATCATAATAAAATATATTGTAAATAATGACATGAGTACCTGGAAGGAATATCAACATCGCACACGTGATACTTTCATGAAAGTTTACATTGCTCTAATACATTCTTCTAATGGTTCAAAAATAATACAAATAAGGATGAAGTCGAAATTTGAATTATTTGAACAAAAATATACTAATCACGTTCCTTTGGCCAAACATTATAACTGCATGAACTCAATGAAAAAATAAAAATATCTATTCAATAATCTATCATCACTTGATTTGGCATAAATTTCAAATTGATATCAGCCATTACGTCGTTATCTTCCACCGACTGACTGTACAATTCTGATTCCTCTGTATGTGATGGGATGGTGTGACGCAGTTCAATCTCGTCCATCGAAAGTTCGTGAGAATTCTGCCACAGAAAAATCAACTTAGTGAGAAAAAATCGCGTACAATTGAAAAGCTGTAAACACCACTCCCACACGAAAGAGTGAACCTAAAAGTTGGAAGCAACCACACACTAGTGACGATTTCGGTGCACAAAAATCAACAACACAAGCAGATGGGTTAAGATTCTCATTTTTTTCATGTAGTATACCACGTGACACAGGAGACATGTAACAGTAAAAAATTTGAGATTCACAAGGGTAATATTATCGATGATGGCGCTTCCCTTGAACTCGATGACAATTTTTTTCAACCACCTGTTTGATTGGAAGTTGACCCAACTTTTTTTTTTTAATGGCACCCTGTATATTTCTGTAATCTATCTTATTCGCCTTGAAATTCTCTATTTAACTGTGTATCACAATTTGATATTCGTTCATTGATTGGCTGTTGAATTGCATTTTATTGAAATACATGACGTTGGCTGTGGCCCGAATACAAAGACATTTCGTTGCTTAAAAATCCAAAGATCATTACTTAGAGTACCGATTAGGGCATGGAAAATAGTCTGATAATATCGTCTAAGTAATGATCTTTGGATTTCTAAAGCCCATGTACTTCAATAAAATGCAATTTAACAGCCAATTAATGAACGAATATCAAATTGCGATACATAGTTGAATAGAGAATTTCAAGGCAAATAAGATAGGCTACAAAAGAATACAGGGTGCCTTTAAAAAAAAAAGTTGAGTCTACTCATAGAGGAAGGAGAAGATGGTGTGCTCAACATAAACCTCAAACTCGTCTTGTTCTGCGCATGACGTCAGCTGTGTCCATGTTGATCGTTTCGCAATAAAAAAGATTATTATATAACTGTCATTGATATTATTTGTTTTCGTGATTGCTGTCTCGAACTTCAGATATTATATTATTATAAGTACTAAAATTGAATGAAATAATTTCGAAATGCCTACTTATTTCGTTTCTGGTTATGGAAATTCCAACTAACATACAAAAGGCACAGATATTGAATTTTTCTGCTTTTCCAAGAATGGAGACCTAATGAAAAGATTGGAGCTTGCTGCCGACAGAATTATAAACTCAAATAATGGTACCTACCTTATATTCCTTATATCCTCAATCCAAAGTATTCACCTATCATATTATCATCACATTCATATTACAGCACGTATTTCTTCAAAAAATTTCCACAAATATTCGAAACAAGATGCCATTCCTACAGACCATCTTCCGAATATCAAGTCAGAAGTAATTGAAAATGAATTCAAAACTCTTAATGTCTCACAAAATATAAATTGCAGCAAAGATTTGAATAACAAAACGGCAAAAATTGATACTCCAGTTGTCGATGTCGGAGCAGAAGCAACGTCAACGTCGTTAACTGCTGAATTTTAATCTGTCAGAATCGACACAGTAATGGATCATTCAGATGGGATTGGCAATGCATGATAATTCGTATGTATTTTCTATTTGCGATTGCGAATTACCTCAAGATTACAATTTCCAGAATCAATAGTTAAATCTAAGGAATAGGAACCTGTTTATATAAATTGAATTATTTCTAAACAGATCGAGAAACTTATAGAAATTTCAATAAACATGATTGAATTCATTGCGCACGCCCATAGCAACGGTATCTGTCTGTGACTAGCAGCTGATATTGGTATCCCAGATGACGTCACATAATATGCGCGTAGGCACACCATCTTCTCCTTCTACTATGGGTCTATTTCCAATCAAACAGGTGGTTGAAGAAAATTGTCATTGGGTTCAAGGAAAGCGCAATCATTTATAATAAAACATACAATATATTGCGAATTTCAAATAAAAAAACTACAGGCTCTTACATGTCTCCTGTGTCACCAGGTATATCTTTTCATCAGAATAAAATCATTAGATAATTAAAAATGAAATGTTCCTCGATCCATTACAATATATTTTCAGGATACAAACCCTGAGAAGATTCGAGTTATACTATCGATGGCAACGTTAAAAAATTGAAAGGCTCCAAATAATAAAATTTGGGCACTCAAGTTCTACACTATAGCAATTTTGACGTCACCAACATACGTTTTTTTGCGGATAACACAATCATGGGGATCTAAATAATTCCAATTGTCTTGAAGTGGTATACTTGATTATTAACTGTTCAATTTCAAGTTGGAATTTCTCGAAAAATGGAAGACTTAGGAACGATCAGATATTTCTTTGGGAATATCCGTATTGATGAGTTCAATATATGTGTGTACTTGTTTAAAAAATCATCTTGTATATCCAAGTTCACGATACTCACCAACAGTCTCGAACAATTTTGTTTCAAACACTGATTCACAACTCTGTGTGACTCAAAATCTCAGCTCAACCAAGATATTATTATTATAATTCTCAAAACGACGCACGAAGAGTGAACTCAGATATTTGATTTTGAACACGAAACACTATATTTACCACATATGAAAAGCTTTCAATAACCCAACTCTGTCGTTCTTACCAAACATCAAATGTGCAGTTATTTGAAATATTTTGGAATACTAACATTATCAAAAACGTTATTTCTAGTATCTACAAAGGGTACAAACGAAGAAAATCACTCTGTATTATTAATTATCCGTACTCAATAATTGCATTTCTTTCTGATGAAATAGTTTTGTTTTTTTTAGAAAATGTTTGGAATCTATCAATGAAATATACATATGCACATTCGATGTTTTTTTAGGACAACACGACAAAACTCAAACACACATGCCCTAACAACACACATCACTTTGAAAAACATTGTATAAAGTAACAAGAAACTTACGAATTTTTCGGCTCTCCCCTGTATATCTCAGGATCACTCTTTTTTATCTCACTTTCACGTATCACATCTGTTAATGACTTGAATATGGTGCTGTGTATCCTAAAAAAATTATATATAATGAGGATGTTTCGCTCGGACGAATTATCATAGAATTATTATGCAATTTCTGATGTCTAAATTTACTATTCAAATTATTTTAATTCTCAAAATACAGCAATTTAGAATTATTAAAGAAGCAAACTATGACCTACTACCTAGATCTAGTGACATTTGGGGATATTTGTACATGATAAGTTTCTTGACTTTTTTCTTTCACGCCTATACACCCGAAAATGAGATTAAGAAGATAGTTGTCAATATGGTCTAACCTCAAACCATCAACAGAAATACATCTCAGTATGATATAAATTTGGTTTACAACAACTGTTATCAGACTCATAAAGTCATAAATATCTTGGAGAAATTGAAATATCTCTTCAACCATTCAACAGCAATTCAAATTAGAATGATCAACCTCAAAAACGAGCTGTCAGCATCATTGTAATTTTCTATAATATACCCATAATTTTATAATCGTCAATTATTATGCTATTCTAATATTTATGTTTCGTCTACAATTTCCATTTCATCAGGTATGTGGTATATAATTTTAAGAAAAAATCCAATTACCACCCATACTATTTGTTGAATATGTCATTTCAGGACCTAACGTCATGAGAATGGTGGATGAGCCGAAACTATATCTTCACGATTATTTCCTGAACTCAAATTCGACAAAAATAAAAAAATACGTGTTCAATGTATTCTCATAAATTATACAAAGGAATAAAAATTTGAATGTTGGAAACTTGCTCATTGCCCAGGTTCATTTTGTTATACAGTGTAGGTGTATTTGAAATACATATTCAACAAGTGAATGACTCCATTTTGTCGTTAGTTTCAATGAAAAAGTTCCTAATAGTGTTAGTTCATGAAAATGGTCGTAATTGGCCAAGATTTCAGCCTAAAAACATCAAGCTGAATCTACTGGGACAATAATGGTCGAGCAAGAAAAGCAGATCAGTATAGTCGGTTTGCTCTAAGCATCGCCAAGTACACAAATGAACAGACCTAATATCAGACGAAGATAGTTGAAGTCATAGAGCTAAATATTTTACTCACACTTTGACTGTCAAGTCAGGTAATGCGGTTATAATTGGAACCACGATGAGGCCTAGCCAAAATACGGCTGTGGAGAATAACATTATGTACATGCCCGACATTATGCTGCCGAACGGTATTGTTGGCCAGAATAAACTAAAAAAAAAAAACGAAGTTATTCTAGATCGAGGAATTATCCGAATCATTCAATATACCCACCTATAAATTATGATGAATAAGAACCACAAAAGGATGGAGCCCCATATGGCACAGTGCGTTAGACATGTCCACGAATTCGTCACCAGACCGGCTTTCAGGCAGACAGTAACAACGACATACTGGAAGAAATATAGTAACATCAAAATGTCTGCTAATCTGCCATCTCAACAAACTCGGCACTTTATTTTCTCAGAATTCAACTGAAGAAACATTTCGTACACAGGATAATATCAAAGGAAGGAAGGAATGCTCGGAGTCATCTCCACAAATTTTAATGGTGTTGTTACAGGATCATAAGGGACATGTTTTGGTCTTATAATAGACCATCTTCAGCCTAATTGAAAGTTCTACAATACAAAAAGGTTGATGTGAAAGAATTACCTAATTGGTGCTTGACTAGGTAACTCTTTCACATCAACCTTTTTGTTTTGATGAACTTTCAATTGGGCTGAATATGGTCTTTTATAAGATTGTGTAACAGCACCATTAAAATTTGTGGAGATGACTTCGAGCATTCCATCCTTCCTTTGAAAAATGTCCCTCCACTTTTAGCGATATGGACTTCTACCACAGGATAATATGTCTGCTATCCACAAATTATTTCACTATGAAAATTTTCGGTAAAAGTGCACTTATCATGCGATGGGGTTTTTTTCGAAAAATTTTTTTGGTACTTACGTATTTTCGTCTGAAAAACACGAATTTCATAATGAAAATGTGAACAAACCACTATTTATCGAGATATTTCAAGAAAAAGTTCGAAATTTTGCCTTCTTTTCCCTCTTGTGTTGGATGCATTTACAGGTACTTGCTCTTATTATTTTGTCATTGGACACTTTATATACTCATGATGTACTTCACTGACACATTTTAAGATAGAAAATTCAACAGGAAATATGATTTTCATGGCGAGTTTTTCCTATTTAGTGAGCAAGCATACCAGATGACGGCCATTTAATCCATGTGCAATCCAAATACGAGATGTCAAATGTCAATAGATTGCTTTGGAATGACATTACACACGCCATTATTTCAAATGATATTCTTTCTTCTTTTCACTAAACATGGATAAATCACAAGAAAATCATATTTCTAGTTGACTCATATAATAAAAAAAATGTGTCCAACATTGTGTGATATATATAAATTGTCCAATGACGGAAAAAGAAGGGCAAATTGTTCTAAATGTGATCCAGAAGACAGGCGGAAAAGATGGTGAAATTTGTAACTGTATAGTGAAATATCTTAATAAATAATGGTTTGTTCAAATTTTCATTATGAAATTCGTGTTTTTCAGACGAAAATACGTAAGTACCAAAAAAATTTTTCGAAAAAAACCCCATCGCATGATAAGTGCACTTTTACCAAATTTTCGAGTCAAACCAAAATTCAGATAAGTACAGTAATTTCCCATACATTTCAGGATTTTGTCTCTTCATTTCAATGAAATAAGAAAATATGAGTATAATTTCAATATATGGCGTGTAGTGAGGACAAATCAGATTATTTGACTCAAGATCACTGCATTTAAAAATGTTCCTGTCACTGAGAAGTATCCACACTGACATCCCAAGAAAGCTTGGAAGAATATTTTTTTCCATTTGGGCGGTGGCTCACTGAATGTACCACCACTTTTTTCAAACTGAACCATATATTTTTTACCAAATTTTGTCTTGAATGTTCAATACTAAGTTTGTAATGCATAAGTTTCAAAAAAATCAAATTGAGAATTTTTTTTCTTCCTGCCCACATTGTTCATTTTTCATTGGCATATTGCTGTCCCTGAAAGAGTTAAATTCTACATTTTGAAGAAAATCACGAAAATTTAAATATCTCAAAAGGAATGTATCGAATGTATCGAATTACCAGTAACCCTGATAACATAATAATGACCAGCACGATGTTAAACGAACAATTCAAAAGACAAAAAAAACATGAAAAACATGAAAAACAATCTTCAACACCCCCTTACCGTATAGACGCAATTCCCGACGACCAAATACCCCCCATCGCCGCCGCCCATCCACAGAATATCATGCTCAGCGGCGAGCATGGGCAGCCAGAACAGGAACGCCGAGTGCAGCATGCCATTGAGGATCCAGATCCAGAAGACGCGGATGTTAAACAGCTCGCCGCTTTGCGAGGGCTTGTACAGCTGCGGATACGACATCATCTTGTCGGCCGCACAGGGCTTGTCGAACAGGCCCATCGCCAAAGGGGGCAAAGCGGTGAACAACACGTTGTATAGACCTAACGAGGAAATTATTGATTTGGACTATTTGTTTTTTCATTTTGCGAAAGATACTACAGAAGAAACCCTTTATGTCAGATTATGATCACAATTCAATTAACACGAACACTATCACAAAATATGAGATGGAAGAAGCTTGTTCGAAGTTCGGCTACACGCCGAACACTAACACCTTAACGGTCAGAGGGGTATTCGAGAGTCTCCTATTTGGGCCATGTCAGTTAGAAGTGACTGACAGGGAATTCTCCCGTGGGGCCTCGTCAGTCCTGTGTGACTGACAGAGGGTTCAACTTCAGGCAATTTTAGTCAAAAATAAATTTTTGTCAGTCGCAGTTGACTGACACTATTGTGCTGGATCTGTGATATTCAGACGTCAACTAAAACGAATCTATGCATAACTCCGATTACTAGATCACGCTACTTGTAATGCGGCCAGTGCTGGTTGGACACTCATAATAACCTCGGTCCTTCAGAACTATTTCATGTCAGTCTTCAATTATTGACATGGCCGTTAAAGTGCTAATGAACCAGCATTTGCACATGTCTGTGATAGCCGGCCGGTGACGTAAGCCCATTCCACTGAGCAGTAGTGTATCGATTGCTAGGCGCCAACACCCTACAACTTTTATATTTGAAGTTTCTTCCACCTCGTATATTTGAAGCTGTAGGTAGGGGTCAAAATATAAGTATACACCTTGTACAACCCTACAATTAGATGGACTCGAGCAGTATCACACTAGTGCGGTAAAGTATCTCATTACGATACTAAAATCAGTGTCGTTATGTTTCACATTACATATAAGTAGTAGGTAAATGTTAATTACAAATATCCTAACGCAATATTTCATAGGTAAGTAGAATTTTGGTATAGTGACGATGTTGAGGGCTTGCTTTTGTTGATGAAAATCGTGTTCATAATATTGAATATTCAATTCAATTCAATTCAATTCAATTTATTCCTCTAATTGAAGTACATGTCATGATGTTAATAACATAATATATAAAAAAAGAGAATCCTAGATCTTGCAAAAGCCTAGGCAAGAATGCCTGTCTTGCTTTCTGCTCGGTCCCAGGATTTTCATGATGATCGTACATTTTGTGTTGTGTTGGAATAGTGAGTAAATTTATAAATAAATAAAATATAATCTCTAAGAATTCTAGGTATCGGAATTCGAAAACTAACACAGTATAGTAGATAATTAAATAATAGAGAAAATTAAATAATACAGAGTTAAATAATACAGAGTTAAATAATACAGAGTTAAATAATACAGAGTTAAATAATAGAGAGTTAAATAATACAGTTAAATAATACAGAGTTAAATAATAAATATAACAAATAATCTCAATTAGACGTTACAAAATGTCGAATTATTTTGTTATAATACGTGAGACGTGATTCACTAATGCACTTACACACCTTTAAAATAATCCAGATTTATAAGATATATAAAATATATCTATGAAAAATGTCAATTCTCTGGCAATGATTCCGTAGTGTTATCCACACCATTCGCGATTTCAATCATTTATCCATGTTTGGCGTTCGGAATTGTCGTTGTAAACGTTTTAATGATTCATGAATGAATAGCGGTGTCTGTCTATTGCTATTTAGTATAAGCATCAAACTCACCTATCGACCACCTCTCAAAAAGAATCTGTCCAGACCAGCCCGAATAGATGGCGAACCACAATTCGATGACGTACAAGCAGATGTTCTTGTAGAAACTGTATAGGATGAGCTTGCACATTCTCGAATAGTTCCAAGCACCGTGGACGAACAACAGTCGTAACAAAAATCTATACGAGAAAAATCATCAACATCATTTGGGAATAGTTTTTCGTCAAGCTCTAAAAATATGACTTTTATGTACGAATTTCCGAATGAAAAATTGACTATTTTTGTAGGCAAGTATTTTTCGTCAGCAAACTCTTTTCGTCTGCTGGGGTCACTATGATATGGCACAGTGCGAGAGCGGCGATTGAGTAAAGTTGACAGCTATCAACTGTTTTTGCTGTTGTCGAGTAAATAATTTACAATTTTTTTATGTTCTGGTTCCCACGAAAAGGAATATCCTGTTATGTCATAGAACATCGTGTGAACCAGGGGAAATGATGTAGGAATTGGTGTTCTCCTTGAATTTCTGGAGGTTATATGCCTCGGGAAACACCTCCCTTGGCAATGTGCTACAGAGCCTCGCTGTTCGTTGGATGAACGAGTCTTTGGAAAGAGATGTTCTGCAGGTCTCCAAAGTGACCACGAAGGGGTGCGAAGCCTCAACTCGACGGGTTAATCTCGCGGGGACTGCCAAGGGAGGTACAATTGTTGATATTTCAGAAGAGCATCGTCCATGAAAATATCTATAAAATAGAGTCAGATCGCCAAATTTTCTACGGTGTTCGAGAGAAGTGAGTGAGTTTCTGAGCGAGGCGTCACCCACGATACGAATTGCCCTTTTTTGGACAGAATCCAATAGTTTCAGGGTATGTTTGAGTGCTGCACTCCAGATATGGGAACAGTATTACAGGACAGGTCGGATCATCAGCAGCTGACCGGAAGTGGAATAGCTCCAGGCCCGAAACAAAAAACCAAGTTTTCGGGATGCACTTATAGCAATTGATCTCAAGTGATTTTCCCAAGAAAGGTTATTGCTGATAGTAATACCAAGCAACCAAATGGATATCGTCAAAGGTATGGTTACTCCTGACAAGCTAATGTTGCTTCCAACCGATCGTTGATATGGAGTAGAAATAGTGTTGGTGCTAGAATTGAGCCTTGCGGAACACCAGTATTTATGATAAGAGAGTCAGTTGAAACCCCGTCGACCACTACATGGAGAGTCCTGTTTGAGAGAAAACTAGCTAGCAGAGAACATAGTTGGGGAGGCAAGCCATAAGATGGAAGCTTGGCGAGGAGTCCGAGGTGCCATACTCGATCGAATGCCTTGGAGATATCAAGTGCCACGGCTAAGGTTTCACCATATTTTCCAATAGATTTTACGTGTGAATGAGACCGTGGTTTTCGAGGTTGACGAGAAAATGTAATAAGCACCTCGGCGAAAAACTGTCTATTGTCTCGCCTAGCCTCGGCTGGCCCGCGGCTATCAATTTGCAGGCTCGACTATAATAGACATTTTTTCGACCTTGGTACATAAATAACTCTTTTTTTTCAATGATAGATACCTGAACTGTGCTATGCTGTAATCGGATGCACAAGCAGCTTGCAAACCTTCAGCGCCTGATATTCCGACGCCAACGTGAGCTTTTTGGATCATGGCCACGTCATTGGCCCCGTCTCCTATCGCTAAAGTGACGGCTTTCGTATATTTCGTCACGTATTCGACAACTTCTGCTTTTTGCATGGGCGACACGCGACAACAGATGACCACCTTAGAAATAAGCAACATGTTGAACGAAGCCCTTGATTATTTACACTAACATGATGAACCATCCTTATGAGAGCAATGAATCCAGAAATTCATGATGCAAACTGACGTATTTGTCATCAAACAGGGTACGGACAAATAGCTCCTTTCTCTTTTAGTCATCTAGTGACTTTGGTTTCGTGTATCGGCGTCCCTGACATGACATTGCTGTCACCTCACATTCATAGGCGTTACAAGAGATATTGACAAAATTTAATTTAATACTTTATCCTAATACGACATTATTCAATTATGTTTTGGAAGTATGGTAAGATGTGCTGCGTTAGGCTGTATCAATCAGTTGGATGGCAAATTTGAATTTGTCTGCTTTCCATCAAATGCAAATAAACTTAGAACATGGAAAGTGAAGTGACCGAATGGGGAAAATTGGTAAATACATCAGCAAAATATTCGAGGTGAAACTAATACGAAATCACATATAATACTTTCTCTTTGTGCCTATAATTATCCACTCCACAAGTTTTTGAATGCATTTTAGTAGAAACAGTTTTGATTAAAACGGAGGATTGAAAGAAGAGGCATATGCCCTAACACCTATAAAATTATACCTACATTCAGGAAATATTAAGTGTTCGTGAAAAACTGCAAAAATGATTCCCAACATCATGATATATGAGCCCATTGGTTTGAATGCTTACATACCATTTTTCACCATTTCTCAACCATAAGGCTAAGTCTAAAATCAAAATTCATTTATTGATAGGTACTGCCTAAGAGCAGTCCCATTAGGTAAAACGTATTGAACTTTCGGAAAAATTTGCTCACTGCCTCACGAAGATTATGCGGGAGTTGAAAAATCAAAAACTCGAAAATTATCATCATCATTTGGATATAATATGTAGAGTTGAATGATAAATTACGTATGATACGCCAATGTCCTCAATATAACCTAAAAAACAACAAATATCAGAAATCTAGTGTTTAAGGCCAGAAATGAATAAAGATGGAGCTATATAACTGTTTCATTAACACTTTAGAGTCAGAGGAGACGAGGATCTGTCCGTACCCTGTTAAGATGACAAATACGTCAATTTACATCAAGGGACCCTAGTGGTAGGCGGTATGTATGAGCGACAAGGTGAACTACTTTTTGGTGAGTAGCGAAGGGTAGAGATCCGTAATGCAGAATATTTCTGAAGTTTATTTTTATAAGTTTTTATGCAAGAAGGAATGTAGCATCAGGGCAGAATTGAAATATTTTTGTTCAAAATATTCAGGATATTGAAGTTTGCGATTGTCCTGCTTCAGAAAGAAGAATATTGCAACTTGCAGATGGATCGACTCGAGCAGATTCCGAGAATAAAAACGAATCGGCCATATTTTGCTGAGTTTTGGTTGCTCCGTCTACAAATCAGCCAAGAACTAAGGCCAAATTTGGCTTCAAACGTTTTACATGGAGGTGGATCATCTTGTTAGTGAAAATAATCAAAAACTAAGCTTATATTTGATAATGATAATCACAAGGAACGATAGTGTGATAGTCAGTGAAAAGCTTTGTTTACTTCAATTACCTTGCAGGAAATACACAATTTTAGGAAATCTTGCCGCAGTTCGAAAGTAAGAGCATATTTGAGGGTCTTGCCGTCTATTATCAGAGCAATTTCGTTTTGTTTCTCCAAATTGGTGCCGAGATCTTCGCAGTGCCTCAATATCGATTCCCTAGTTTTCTAAAAAAAAAAAAAAACATTTCAACACATAAGTTCAAATTTGACTTGGAGTAAATATTATTCGAATTGATTTTTTCGGGAAAACGTTTGCCACAAATTACAAGGCACATCATTGTGACAGAAGGTGAAGAATATGAAGTAGAATAGGGGACTTCGCTCCAAGTTGCCATCCTAAAAACCTCTACTAATGTAGAAGCAACATTATGGAAGTTTTATTACTCATATACCTTCATTTTGATGAAATCTGATTGCAGGAGTTTAATCAGCTCACTAATAGAAGTTATTCAGAAGAAACATTAATTTTTGTGAACTCCAGTTCTGATTAGTTGAAAATTATGTTGATGAATCTGCTTCCTGTCATATCGTCGTCAATTTTATTTTATTTATGAAGAATACTATTTATCATTCTTTGGTGAATAAGTTTGATCGTTGCAGTAGGAAGTAGGAATATATTTCATTGGAGTGCTAAAAATCGATCCAGACATGACTTCGTAAGAATAAAATATTGAAGTTTCAACCTTTTTCTGAGATCAAAAATAACCCTAGGAAGTGTCTTTAAGTGGATGAAACCATAACTGTACGGAAACTAAGAAATCACAGTCGATATCATGAATAAAAACACTAACATACCTTTGTTGATAAGCATTTTCCTAGTAAAAAAATTATAATATGAATAACAAATCATTCTATGAACACTTCTAAACCTTGGATGAAAACTGGTTAGTTTTCAATAATCACAAATGTCGGAATACAACAGTATTAAAATAACATACTTTTATTTAAATAGTTAGACAGATAGTTAAATGGTAGCTGAAATCACAAAACTATTCAAACATCGCAATATTCATGATAGCATGAGATATTATGGGTAGTGAGGAAATATAATAAATATAAAGACCTAATAACAATGTTATGTTGATTACCATTACGACGAGTCGAGAGTAGCCTCAGACCAGATAACTTTGGAACCTTCACATCCAGTTTATTATATGTTTCTCATGAGAGTTTCTTGATCATTACTCGAAGTTCGAACGTGATTCGAATTCACTGATTTAGTGATTCATTAATGTACCATTTTGTACTCGTGACACTAATGACACTATTGAAACTATTGACATTTCAGTATTGACGTACCGCAGATGCACCAATATGATTTTCAACCAGTCTGATGTGAATGTCAGAAAAACTAATTTTTCTTCTGAATTACTTTCATTAGAAAGCTGAGTGGACTCCTACAATCAGATTTCACCAAAATGAAGCTATTTGAGTAATCAAGCTTCTATAATATTGCTTCTACAGAAGTAGAGGTTTTTAGGTTGGCAACTTGAACCGAAGTTCCCTATTAAGTGAATAAACATGCAATTGAATGAAAATATCTTATATGAGTTAGGTGACGAAAAACTTACATCCAAACCATCTTCGTTGAGTATGATCAGCTGCATACCGGTTGTCAACAGTTTGCACGAATAACCGATATTGATGGCTGTCTCCTGTTTATCGCCTGTTAGCACCCACACATTGATGTCGGCTTGTAGTAAAGCGGCTATGGCGTCAGGTACGCCATCTTGCAGCTTGTCCTCGATGGCAGTGGCCCCGATAAGTTTCAATTTCCTCTCGATCAAGTTCGCAGCTTCCTCGATTTTTTCTGATAACCGAAATCGAAGGTTTATACCGATTCGAAGCAAATTGAAAAATGTTAGTCAAATCGTTATGGGTGACCCTTGATTGGCTAGTGATTAATTTTCAGTCTTAAATCAGTATTAACAGTTAACTATCATTATTAATCAAATTTACTAGCTATTATTCTGTATAGTATTATAATCGAATATATCAAGAGATATATATTAGTCAGAGTTTTTTATCATCGTGCGTACTTAAGGAAGGTAGGGAGAGGAGGTAGGTATTGGAAGTTTTTTTGAGATTAATAAGTTCTTAGCAATACTTCCTGAGGAGATGAATTCCGTCGAAGAATAGAAGTGACACAGTTGTATTCAATACCTGTTTGAGTGTGGACCAATAGATGTTAACTAAAATTATTCGTGTTTCGATAGTGATCCTAAGGGAAGAAACTGAATCTTACTGTTGTATGTTATATGTTTGATAGGGTATGTCTGGTTCTTTGACGATTTTCTAAATTAATTCTCATTGGATGAGGTGAATGCATTTATTCTTCCTTTCATAACCTAATTTTATCATTGTGATGAACTTTCTCCAAAATCTGTGATACTCGTTTTCTTCTAGACTAACAAACTAATGGTTGTATGAGAATATATAAAATGTTCAATCATTCGATATTCATGTAACTTTGATAGGGTGGGAGATACGTCGAACATAAAGAATATATTGATTTCTTGAGGTAGGTACTTGCTGTTCATTTCTTTAAAATTATGTAATTTGTTGAATTGAATATTAGATATACCAACTCGAATCTTTATAAAATGTTACCTTCTCTGTGCTGTAAAGATATGCTGGCTTTGTGATACAGCTGTTTCCATTCCTCGAAGTCCTGCTCTTTAAGTTCAGTGACTGCACAACACAAGGTCCTCAATCCATCGCTAGCGAAATGTTCCAGATGTTGCAGCAGAATCACGCTATGCTCTCTGCCCGAGTTGTTGTCGAGTCGTTCGTATATGACCGTATCGGCACCCTTACAAAACAACCTGATCTTACCTGCAACATCGACAACAGGGTGCCACCTCATTTTTTCAATTGAAATTAATTTCCATTTACATTAGTCATCAATAATATGAAGCAAGGGTGGAAAAATATTATTCAACGAGTGAGGTGGAATGAGTCATGCCACTATGTTATAAACGACACCATCAGTACACTAGATTCAATGAACTGTACTACATCTTAGTGAGCAGATTGAAATGAATAATATGTCATTTTTATAATATGAAAGCAATACTAAAACAAGTAATTTGGTAAGTGAGGTGGAATGAGTCATGTCACTACCTATGAAAATTGTTTAAAAAAATATTTATCAGTGCTGAATCTGTTCACCTGATATACAGATGTATGAAAATCGAAATGGTCGTTCACCTTTAGGGTCTCTCACGATGACAGACATCCTTTTTCGAGCAGATGTGAACTCGAGCACTGTGAGTATCTCGTAGCGCTCCTTCACCCCCAACGCACTGATCTCCACCGAGTCGGGGGTGCGACTTTCGAAAACGTAACCATATCTGTCAGAAAATATTTAATATATTTTGTTATTTATTCATAGAACATACTGATTGATTGTCGAGTGATATTTTGGAATTATCAAAATAAGTAATATCCTTGATTATTTACACTAACAAGATTCACTCCCATGTAAATTGTGGAAGCCACTTTTGGCCTTACTTCTTGGCTGCCTCGTAGGCGGTGCTAGCGAAACCCATCAAAAAATGGCCGATTTGTTTATATTCTTGGAATCTGCTCGAGTCTATCTATCTGCAAGTTGCTGAACAATCTAGCAAATATGCTTTTTTCTGAAGTATGAAAATCACTAACTTCGAGGAGGGTTTCGAATAAAAATGTATCAATCATGCAACATTCCTTCTTGCTCATAGATACCGCCACCAACTGAATATAATGTCTGGCTTCATTGCTCTCATAAGGATGGTTCATCTTGTTAGTGTAAATAATCAAGGATGAAGTTAAATTTAATTTGAGTTCTGAAGAAATAAATGAATTATAGCAGTACCTGGAGGCACCGTATACTAGCGCCCTCTCGTCTGGCGAGGCAGCATGATAGACGATCGAGCCATCCGCCATTTTTTCCGGAATAACAGTGTGACAGACACTGAGCAAGACGAGCAGGTCTCGAATCAGGTCAGCATGTTTGTGGCCTTGTTTCAAATTCTAAAATGTTATTAAGAGTTGTCAGTGATCTAGCATCGAATGAAGATTCAACATTTTGGTTAACCCAACGTTCGAAAAAAAAATGAGAAAACAAATAAGATAATATTCATTGGTAATACCATAGCTCGCTTTAAATATAGTAGAAGATCCGAACCTAAATCGACCTTCACCGAGCTGATAGTAGAACGAAATATATTTTATCATGAATTTAGTATATTAGAAAACATATTAAAAATGGGTTGGCTAAAAAAATCCTGGGCAGACTATTTTTAATTATTTTTCGAAAAATTATTTTTAATTAAATGTTGCAACATCAGGATAATAAAAAAAATTGTGTCCTGACTGAAAGTATAAAACGTATAGAATGTGCAGCCGTTGGGTTGTCTACTATTTACCTGGGCGAACTACTGGGTTGTCAGGTAAACACAGGTATGTCGATGCCAGTTACTTTCACTGGATTGGATAATTTAAAAAAATGTATATCATCATAAGCGCTGTTTAATTGCGAACGCGTTGATATAAGGTTGTCTGCGAAAATTCCGGTCCTATTAGGGGTTTGCGAATTTTAAAGATTTTAATTTCAACGCGCGTGGAAGTGTGTGACAGAGGTAAGTATACTGTGTAATAATAAAGGACCCTTTAATTAAAAATAATTTTTCGAAAAATAATTAAAAATAGTCTGCCCAGGATTTTTTTAGCCAACCCATTTTTAATATGTTTTCTAATATACTAAATTCATGATAAATAGTATATTATGTAACAAGTGTTATAAACGTCCTTTTAGTAACGAGTAGTTTAAGCACGAGCGGAGCAGAGCGGAGCGAGTGTTTAATAAACGAGTGTCAAGAAGAGTTTATAAACGCGTTACATACTATGATTTTTCTACGAACTCCAAAAATTACATTAATTAACATACCTGCTATTCCTGCTAACCTACAAAATAATTCGAAAGGAATGGGAATTGAGAACATAATACATACAACTGCATGCAACCAGCGAGACACGTATGTGATATTGGTTGTAGATCTGTCCAGTCCATTGCTTACTAACCGTTGTTTCACGTTTATTGTCATGCTTAGCGCTGAATAAATAAATTGTTCTCAAAGATGGATGCTTCATTTCAACACTTCTTGGAGGTATGTAAGTACCTGAACATTCTCTTCGATTTCACTCTCGTCTACTTTTCGCATATATTTTTAATGCGAAGAATTCCGATACAAACGAATATTGTTTGAATAGGTAATTCTGATACAAAATATGAAAATAACAGTTGACAGTTAATACAATTGACAGGCCAGACATGTCTCGAATTACTGAAGCTGTGATTAATGAACTGCGTTACCATGGTGATGTGTTTAAGAAATCGTGTTGCCATGGTAACGTGTTTAATATTTTGAATAAATCACAGATCGACAATCCGTGATTAATCGATCATTTGGCGTGGTACATATCCGTACGATAAATGCCATTTTAGTTATGTGAGTAGAAAAAATATATTTCGTTCTATTATCAGCTCGGTGAAGGTCGATTTAGGTTCGGATCTTAGACTAATAGACAGCCGCACTGAGGCAGTTTGGCAACACAGTACAAAAGGTCTTTCGCCGGCCATACGCACATATGATATATGGCTTGTGGATGCAACAGAGTGAATTTGTTTAGTTTTCAAGAGTAAATTGATGTGTTATCAATGTGGAATATTGTTCAAGGCCAGTGAGACGTGTAAGGAATATTCAAGTGATCGAGTGAAAGTTCGTATGTGTGTGTGTGAAAGTCCATCGGAAATAGTACCATCGTTTGCCTATGTCGCCAGTCAAAATTTGTACTTTCGGATCACGGGGATGCGCTGTTGCCATTTCTCTCAACGCGGATTGTTATAGAGCCGGTTGTGGTATAACGTAATGTTAATATTCACCTGGACCAGTATTGAATCATCGATATCATCACTTATGGCGTATATGTTTTGGCCTATAGCGCATTTCTTGAACTCCATCACGTTTCTTGTCAACGTTCCAGTTTTATCAGAAAATACATATTTCACTTGACCGAGTTCTTCGTTGAGATTCGATGTTCTCGCCATTGCCGGAGTGTCTGATTCTGCGTGGTACATCTCGGCATCCATATTTATGAAAATCGCCTGAACAATAAAAGTTTATAGAATGTTCACTTATCGTTGCTTTTTGGAAACTTACCTGTACGAATCTTACAACCTCCAGAGTTACTTGAAGGGATATAGGAATCAAATTGTTGAACAGAATTAGAAACGTCAGAAGGTTGTATAAAAAATTATGGGAACTGTCTGGAAAAAAGGGTAGAGAATGAATAAAATACACTTGAGGTAGTAATCTACCAATATTTTATGAATTGGTGAACTCTGGTAAGTGTGGCAGCGTTTTTGCATTTTTGATGAGTTGATTTTCAGTTAGTGAGATACCTACTACTCTTTGTGATTGTTTCTCAAAGTATGCCTTGATATGTGATTTCATACTGAAATTTTCCAGAGATCCTATCATCTGACAAAAAAATTCGAATATTTTTCTGAAACGGTGTCTGTACGTCTCACATATTAATATATAGAGGGTATAATTCATTCCTCTTGATTTTGAATTTCAATTTGCCTAACTGAATGATGGGGTTACTAGATTCCAGGAGCATATCCTACATAGACTATAACCGATGGATCTATTACAAATTTTGCAATAATTCTATCTGCCTAGTTTACGACAACTCAGGCGCCATTTTATAAGTGCTATTCAGGAAAGAATTTTCAGAATAACAGGTTGACACATCTTCTTTCTATGTGGTCATACTAACGTCAAAATATTATTTAATATTTGGCCAAGTGAATAAAACAGGTGAAACGATCGAAGTACGTCCAATATTACACTGGCGTAACTATTAGGGAGGGGCTGGGGGTCCAAGCCACCCCCAGGCCTTTCCAGCCCCCCCCCAGAATGTTTCAAATATATATCTGTACCAAATAAAGTAGACACGTATCGAAATATTTCATCATAGGGCAGGAAGAAAATCTTACAGTCAACTCCACCAAAACTATACTTTATTTAAATTAGAAATTGGGACATGTTTCGAATCTTCAAAGCTTCATCATCAGCAAAATGGTTACAGGAAGTACTGTTCTGGGGAAAATTCACATGTTGAAAACAAAAAAAATTACGAATACATATTATTACAGATTGAAACATGAAACATTTAGCAAAACAGTGAAAGTGTGAAAAAAGGACAAAAGGTAAGTTGTTAATTGAAAATTTATTAGGCCTTCTCCCTACTGTCTATCTGTGGTAGGCAATAATTTGTTGCTTGCTTAGGGAATGGAGAAAATAAATAAAATATCAACAGAGTAAACTCCCAAAGAATTTTATAAACTCTGTCTTTAGTCAGAGAGTGAATGTGGAGTATGGGTAGGAAAACACTATGAAGCTATTATAATTACAATTTAATTTTATACCTTTCGGACGGCGTATTTAAATCCAGAACCGTGTTAAGCAGGTGATAATTGTGGATTTATTTCCATTTAAATAATTCATAAATAGGCGATATCCTAGATCACAGGGTAGCCATATTGATTTTAGAGAAAATAACTTGCGCCGCCATTTTGGATACAAATGTCCACTTGCGATAAGTACGTAAGTGATTTTCAATTGTTTTTCAAGGAAAATTTTGGTTTTTAGGAACGATAACTTCGATTCAAATGTCAAAATTCTATAACATAAAAACAACTGAATGACGTCCTGGCCAATGATTTTGTTGTCACACGGTATACACCCTGTTTAGCTCGCTGTTTAGTATCTATGATCTAAAATCTAAATAAAGGCGCCGTTTTTAAATGCCATTTGAAAAAGCGACCCTGTATTCTTATTTGCTTCCTCATACTACTGATAGATTGTGTAATGAATAACGTATGGCATTACTCACCAAGAAATTTATTCGGGATGATAAAGAAATATGAATCAGTTGAATGTTGAATCAGTTTGCGAACGGCTTTCGGTGGATGCGGACGCAGTAAAAATTATTATCGTAATTCAATTAGTGAATATACTTTTTCGTTTCGTATACCGGGTGTTGTGTGAGTTCCAGTGCAGACTGCAGTGATAATTAGTGTGATTTGACAGTGAATTCACTTTTCCTTTTAATATACCAGGTTTTGTATCAGTTTTAGTGTGTATATAAATATAATACAAGTTTTTGGTGTGTATTTTATGATGTGGTTAAGAAAAGTGGAGAGGTCTAAAGTGAAGTTGAGTGGAACGTGAATCGAATGATTTCTGTTGAGAATATTCGGCAGAATCTTGGATTATGACAAGGATGTCGCTTTGTCTATTAGTTGGTTCTGAAATAGTATATACAAAATGTAAGTACCATGATTTTGTAGACAATATTTCTCTATGGTTTTTGTATTATACAGGGTATGTCACGACGAGCTTACTCTATCTTTATTTCGAGAATGAGCCACAAGAAATTCATGAAAATGTGCATGTTTATATTTGAGACTACACTATCCTAGTTAAATGTATTTTCGACAATGCAGAGTTGCCGCTTCTACCGAAAAGTAGCAACAACTATGTTATTTCGAATGGATTTTCCTGTATTTCATTGTATTATTAGATTCTCCCTGAAGAGTTGATTTCATCGATATATCACATTTGGGGTCTAGCGGGAATAATTACAGAGATATAGGGTATTCAAAATCGAGATTTTTCAACTTGAGGATTTTTTTGTGTCGGAACCATTCATTTTCGGTCAAAACGGCTTTTATATCCCTATATAAACTTCACTATCTACTGAAATTCAATTGGAACATATACAGGGTGGTTCAATATTCAGAATTTTGTTCACCTTGCATCTATTCCAAATAAATGTCAGTATATTATAGTAGATCAAAATTTAAGATATAGGGATGTGGAAGCCGTTTTGACCGATAATGGAATACTTTCGATACAATGAGATTCTAAAGTTGAAAAATCTCGATTTTTAACACCCTATATATCTCTGTAATCATTACCACTAGACACCAAATGCGATATATCGATGAGATCAGCTCTTCAGAGGCAATTTAAAAATATGATGAAATAACAAAGTTGCTGCTATTTCTCGATAGAAGCGGCAACACTGCATTGTCGAAAATATTTTAACAAGAGCGTGATTTCAAATTTAGGCATGCACATTTTCATAAATTTCCACTCCTCAAATTCATTTGGTAGTTCCATTCTTCTTCGAACATTCTTTCATGAAAACTGGACTTTCATCGATTCACTAAATTATTCATATCTTCAGTCGATTAACTAGTCGACATTCATTAATGTGAGTGCATGGAATCACGTCAGTTCTTTTCCAAATTATTCATGCCTTACAATAAAGCAACAGTCGTTGTTTCAATGAAGCAGTGCCCTTAGAAGGGTGGACCCATGTTTTCTTCCACATCTGTATATAATAGTTATATGGCGCATTTAGAAAATCATAATACTAATTCATGTTTTTTTTAGGATATTCCAGGAACAATGCAAACCATCGCAGATGACTCAGAAGCTGAAAGCAACAGTCATTGTTTCAATGAAGCAGTTCCCTTAGAAGGGTGGCCCCGTGTTTTCCTCCTCACCTGTATATTATAAGTTATATGGCGCATTTAGAAAATCATAATGCCAATTCATGTTTTTTTTAGGATATTCCAGGAACAATGCAAACCATCGCAGATGTCTCAGAATCTAAGAGCCTGTATTTGCAAGAACTCTTTATTCGCTTGTAGGACACTTCACTTCAGACCTCTACATATGTAAAGTCATGCCAGAGAGGCTTATGAAATATGGAGATTTTTGAGATAAGTTGCAATTACCTTCGGAATTTTCAATTCATTTCGTAGTTCTATTCTTCTTCGAACATTCTTTCATGAAAAAACGACTTTCATCAATTCACTAAATTATTAATTTCTTCAGTCGAATAATTAGTCGACATTCATTAATGTGAGTGTATGGAATCACGTCAGGTACCCTTACGAGGGGAGTGTATCAACTTTGGCGTTCGTAATGCCTCTCTGCAAAGGAGGGTGTCGCCTTCAAGAGTTAGGTATAAACAGTGGTTTTATACCAGTTCTTTTCCAAATTATTCATGCCCTACAGGAAAACAACAGTTGTTGTTTCAATGAAGCAGTGCCCTTAGAAGGGTTGGACTCATGTTTTCTTCCACATCTGTATATTATAGTCATATAGCGCAATTAGAAAATCATAATGATGATTCATGTTTTTTTTCAGGATATTCCAGGAACAATGTAAACCATCGCAGATGTCTCAGAACCTGTATTTGCAAGAACACCTCATTCGCTTGTAGGACACTTACCTCAGAACTCTACATTTGTGAAGCCATGCCAGAGGGGCTAATGAAATATAGAGATTTTCGAGATAAGTTGCAATTACCTTCGGAATTTTTAATCCTCAAATTCATTTCGTAGTTCTATTCTTCTTCGAACATTCTTTCATGAAAAAACGACTTTCATCGATTCACTAAATTATTCATTTCTTTAGTCGAATAATTAGTCGACATTCATTAATGTGAGTGTATGGAATCACGTCAGGTACCCTTACGAGGGGAGTGTATCAACTTTGGCGTTCGTAATGCCTCTCTACAAAGGAGGGTGTCGCCTTCAAGAGTTAGGTATAAACAGTGGTTTTATACCAGTTCTTTTCCAAATTATTCATGCCCTACAGGAAAACAACAGTCGTTGTTTCAATGAAGCAGTGCACTTAGAAGGGTTGGACCCATGTTTTCTTCCATATCTGTATATTATAGATATATGGCGCATTTAGAAAATCATAATACTAATTCATGTTTTTTTTTAGGATAATCCAGGAACAATGCAAACCATCGCAGATGTCTCAGAATCTAAAAGCAACAGTCGTTGTTTCAATGAAGCAGTGCCCTTAGAAGGGTGGACTCATGTTTTCTTCCACATCTGTATATTATAGTTAAATGGCGCATTCAGAAAATCTAAGAACCTGTATTTGCAAGAACTATTTATTCGCATGCCCTACAGGAAAACAACAGTCATAGTTTCAATGAAGCAGTGCCCTCAGAAGGGTTGGACTCATGTTTTCTTCAACATCTGTATATTATTGTCATATAGCGCAATTAGAAAATCATAATACTAATTCATGTTTTTTTTAGGATATTCCAGGAACAATGTAAACCATCGCAGATGTCTCAGAATCTCAGAACCTGTATTCACAAGAATTCCTCACTCGCGTGTAGGACACTTCACTTCAGAACTCTACATTTGTAATGCCATACCAG